CCCCCTGCCCTGAGCGTCTCACGGCAGGGGGCTGGAGGGGATATGCCCTGATTCCACCCCCCTTCTCCAAGGTCCCCGGAGCAGAGAGCACGAGCATGCTGCGGCTCCGCTTTTCCCCTCTGTAGCAAGAGCCGCCAGCTGATCGGCTGCAGGGAGGGAGAGAAGGAGGGGCAGGAACCCAGCACGCTGGGGGAAGAGGTGGGGGGAGGGGGAAGCTTGCCTGCCCTGCAAGGAGAGAGCAATGGGCCGGGCTGGACAGGATTTTTAATGGCACATCCCCGGCAGACAGCAGCGTGCCATTAAAAATTGGCTCACGTGCCATCTGTTGCCGACCCCTGCTCTAGAGTATGAGGAGCACAAGTGTGATTTAAAACCTTTGCTCCCTGTTCCTGCCCCAACGACAGAAACAAAGTAACTGAAAATTGGGCCCATTGTCTTCAGAGCTCTCTGCAAATTACTTAGCACACTCTTGGTGCTATCTAACTAAATAATATGAACAAAAGCAAAGTCAAACTCGAGTGTCATTGTCCTAGCTAATAGAAGTGCAGAGAACAAACATAGAAATAAATAAGTCACAGGAATAGTGGGAAGATTTTTAACATTATTCCAGTTTTAATAATTTACAATCCACCACATTCCTTTACCTGCATTACTAAGTGGACACTGACAGTAAATACATTCATTGATCATGCTTTCATATGGGAGTGAGGCAATACACACTGCTCCCTCCCACTGCCAATGGCGTGTGGGGTTAGAGGGAGAGTCCTGACTTTGAATGAGATGTAAAGCTAAATGCCTCATCGTTGGTCATTAACAAATATCCAAGGGCACTTTTTTGCAAGAGTAGGGGTGTTACCCTGGTGTATTGACAAAGTTCAAATTGGAATAGTTACAATCTGCCTTCATGAATCCCCCCTTAGTTTCACTTGGACACGGTATCTTCCTTACTTCCTGCCCTTAACTATTGGGTAGGGTTGCTGTGTGCTGTTAAAAACCTGCTGTTTTTAACCCCAGTGATGGCTGCATTTCAATAGTGAATGGAAGGACATGTAAGTAGGGCATGATCCTGCAAGATGCTGAGCACCTCCAATGAGATGCTGAGTGCACTCAGTTCCCATTGTCTTCACTGAGAGATGAGTATTCAGCTCTTTGCAGGATTGGGCCCAACAGTTTGTAAAGTGCATTGGGATGAAAGACACTGTGTACAAATTTAGATCTAGGGCTACATGTTCTGTTGGTATAACTCCATTGAAGTCAACAGAGTTACACCAGAGAATCTGGCCCCTCATTTTAAAATTTATTTGAACCACTTACAGTTTCTTCAGAAGTTCCCTCCCCCGAGGATCAGAGACTTAGGGAAGGGACATCCAGTTTTGTGTTTGGAGAGAAAAGCTGGCATGTAGCATTGCTGAAGCAATCAGCTGAAGCCATGCTGTGCCATCCCATAGTTCTGAGAGAAGACACAATGTAGGCTGCAAACAGAAAAGAACAGTAGGTGTGACATGTCTGACCCTGAGGCTCAGAGCTCTGCAAAAAGCCAATGACAAAGTTGCCTTTGAAAAGGCTGGTAAAGGCATGAGAACTGCACTGTCATCTTTAATCCTTTTCTATTGGATTATTTTTGACAGGTGTGTAACTCACCCGCTTATTGTTTAACAAATCCCATCACGTTTTGTACAGTGATGCAGGATATAGCCACATGCGCATGCCCAGGGCTGCTTGTGGAGATCACGGGCTGTCTACATACATATCAGTGTTCCAGAATAAGAGATAGGACAGAAGAAATTTCACTCAGGTTAGACCCCAGGCAGTGGGGAAGGGTACACAGCATTAAACTCACCAGCATGATTGGCCTTAATTGGCCCCCTCAGCAGAGTGCAGTGACTACTGAGCCATGGACACTCAACTTCCCTCCCACTCTAGAAGTGGACCCTACATATGAGGGTTGAGGCCCAGTGTGCAGGAAGCTTGCACTGCTGCTGCCCTGGCCAAACAAGACATCAGTCTCCTGAGCTGTCAGTCTGGCAGCATTCACCAACACTAAATTCACAAGGACAAAATCTTTTAACCAGGAGTGGAGTTCATCCCCTACCAGCTGCTCTCCACTTCCCTTACTTCCCTGTCATGTTGCCTTCCAGAGCATAACAAAGGGTCAAACTGAGAGACCGCCTCTCCCCACTATGACAGGACCTACATCCTTTTTCACTCTTTGCTTACGCCCAGATTTGTGCTCATTCAATGTGCCTCTGTTTTAAAGTACCCAACTTAACACCTAGGGCCCAGTTTCCAGAGATGCCAGAGATCCCGTTAACTTCAGATCAGCTCTAGATGACACCAAGTTAACACCACTAGTGGCTGGTGTCTGTTAGCATTCCCTCCAGTGGGAGGCCAAGACATGCTTCTAGAGGACTGTGCTTATCTGGCTGTACTGACATTTTCTGAATGCCAAAGTCATCCAACTTTTTTTAAAAAGAAAAATGATTTTGCACCATTAGTGTCATTCCATAACCCTGCATATTCATGGATTTAGCTAACCCCAATCTGTATTTCTTGCTTCCCAATAGAGCTGTAATATCTGTGACACACTTTGTAGTCAAGTGGGATGGAAAAAATATCCCCTTAATAACCAGTTTTATTGCTTAGCCATAAGTGCTTTGTCTCTGCATGGGTAGGGAGTTGGAGCCCAGAGAATAGATTATTTTCTCATTATTAAATTCACAGTGTTGAATAACTGAGAACAGCAAATACAGATGTGGGAGAGAGAGTAACACATTTTGCAAGCCAAGGAGCACGGTACAATGAAGCAGAAGCTTCTGTTATAGAAGCTAAAATACCATACATACAAGACACACACATCTGTGACTAAAGCCTGGTAGGCCACTGGAATGCAAAGACACTATGTAGGCTACCATTTGTTATCAGATACCTTGAAAGCAGGGGTCAGCTGAACCTGTTTGCTGCAGGTGGGAAAGATAACTATTTCACTGTTGGCTTCTGTCTTGTGCTTGAAAATCCAACCAATAGGTTTTGGTTTTTTTTAAATTAAAAGGGTGAGATTTTCGAGATTTTTTTTCAGTATTGGCCCAACTATTCCCACTGAAGTTTTACCAAAGACTGCATTTAGACCAATGATGGGCATTTTTGAAAATTCCATCCTTAATCTCCGTTTGCAGTGTTGTTGTAGCCGTGTTGGTCCCAGTATTTTAGAGAGACAAGGTGGCTGAGGTAATATCTTTTATTGGACCAGCTTCTGTTGGTGAAAGAGAGACAAGCTTTCAGGCTCGCACAGACTTGCAGAATTGCTCAGTGTAAACTCAGAAAAGCTTGTCTCTTTCACCAACAGAAATTGGTCCAATAAAAGATATTATCTCACCCACCTTGTATCGTTAATTTCCATCAGCTTTTAGGGTTGCAAAGATAACCTTTAAAATATGATCTACTTGTAACCGGCACAGTAGTGTCTGCCTGAGTCTGCAGAGAGTCTGAAGCGATAACTCTGAGAAGTGTGATCTTAGTTGATTCTGAAGTCTAAAGATGCTATGTAATATGCCAGCATTGTTAACTATTTCACTGTTTATCAAATCTTGCAAGAAAGACAGATGATCATTTAATGCACAATCCTGCACCAGTTAAGGTCATTGTGAATTTTACCATTGGCTTCAATGGGAGCAGATTTGGGCCTTTATTGAAGATCTCTCAATCAGCTCTGAGTGAAGTCTAACTTTGATGTGACAAATGGACAGAACTGAGATTATGAGAAGAGTTTAGGCAAATGCTGCCACTGGTATCATTTAAGCTCATCCCTGACTGAAAGATTGCATGCTTCCAGCATCAAGAGTTGCCATCCTTACAGCATAGCACATGCCCTATGGTCTGTTAATAACACTTTTAATAACTATGGTCTACTGTGTGCTGTTTATCAGCTATTGTGGTTCACCTCAGAGGTGGCTGCATTTCACTGCTGGGTGAGTGCTCAATATAGATATACAAACTGTCAGTTTAAAAATTGTAAAATGCTTTTAAATCATTGAGGGAAAAAGATATAAATTTAAGATATTCGTGTAATAAAAGCTATGTTGGATCAGGCACTCTGTAAAGATATCTACTAATAAAGATCTTACATTGTTCCAGTTCAGTCCTTTCCCAGAATATTTCTGTAATTGGCCTTAATGATACATGATGTGGTGGGGGTATACTGCATTTGAACCTGTGCTGTTGTGCCCTACAAGCCAAGCTATAAACAGTTGGGACCCAGAGCTAAAAGCACCAGTAAGTCCCGATGACTTCAGTGGAGCTGTAGATACTCAGCGCCACTCTCAGAATCAGACTAATCACAAGTTTTGGCACGGTGTGTATGTGCAAATGATGCAGTGACTCACTGAATATATAGTTTAGTGTGTGGAATATGAAAAGGAAAAAAGAAAGCTTATATGAATGGCCATCTCTCTACCTGCAGCACTGGGCTTAGGAGATAATGTTACCGATCACATCACGTGCTGTATACAGGTTTAGTCTTGTCTCACTATCTCCATTTACTGCTTCTGCACTGGAAAGCAGCAGGCTCCTTGGGGTATTTTTTCTTCTTCCCCAGTGGTGGCAGCTTGACGTTAGCAAGTGCTGGAGTATCATGCGAGTCTGGGATAACTGGCTGAGCTCCACAAAGCAGCTGTATTCCCGCAGTGCCAGAGCCGTTGGAGAAAGTTCTTGTGCAGCCTGCCTCCTAGCTTTGCACGCAGCAAATTCCTAGTCATCTATTTTTCTGCCAACAGGTTGGGTGGGTTTTGTTTTATTCAGTGTGTGTAGGTTTCCTTTTCCCCATACCATTCAGGTGGAAAGGTAGGAGGAGCAATAGTGGCAGGTGGGAGGGAACTGGCTGTCCCTAGTGCAAGCCTGGAGGCTTGTGATTGGGGGGGAGAGTGGAACGAGCCCTTCAAGCACAAAATGCAGGGCATGGGTTGAACGATGAAAAAAATTACTTAACTGGCAGGGCCAGCCTATTGGATGGTCACATGAGCAAGGTGGCTGGGATCAGGGAGTGTGCAGCATGTGCAGTGCCCCTGGTTCGGTCTGGAGACCTCTGCCTTAAGCTGGAAGAGGGTTGCTCCGAAAGGTAATCCTTCCCCCTGTGCTTATCTTCTTTGTAGAGTACTGCATTGAGAGGGAGCCAAGGTGGAGGGGAGACTGGCCTCTGTTCTGTCTGTAACAGCTGTGTTGTCAGCCCTCTGCCTTCCCAAGGCTGCCGCAGGGAGTGAGCAGGAAAGGACCACAGCCCCACCAGGTGAGGATCAAATAGAGGTGACGTGGAGCAAAGTGGGAGCTTGGGGCTGGGGGTCGCTGTGTATGGTGCTTGGTGATAAAGGCAGACTCTGCTCCCTTAGAAGAGGAAACAGGGACTGCTGGATCCACAGACTCTCCCCCTTCCCCTTGGTTCCCCAGCCCCACTGGTCCCTGCTGCTCTCCTTTAACCTGCTTGGCCCTGTGGTTTCTCTTCCATCCCTCCTGTGAAAACCCACAGGTTCTTCTGTTACTGCTGTTATACCCGTGAGCTCTGTTCTAGCACCAATCTCGATTGTTTGACCTTGGGGTCCTTACCCACTCCCTGCCGTTTGATCCTTTCTGTCCTTTTTCTCTGTGTTTCCCACTGCTTGATCTTGTGGGCTCTCAGTCTGTGATCCCCACTGGATGATACTGCAGGCCTCTGTTATTCCCCTGACTTACAGGCTTCCAATCAATTCCCTGCTTCTTGACACCCTGGCTCCCCTCCTGTGTGACTTCCTGAACCCCTCCTCCTTGCGCTTCCCTGTCAACTGCCTTTCTTCCTGCTTCCTGCCTCTCAGAAGTGGCAGCTCACCATTGTAGTAAATGACAGGTTTCAGAGTAGCAGCCATGTTAAACCGTAGTCTCTAAGGTGCCACAAGTACTCCTTTTCTCATTGTAGTAAATGGCACTATCTTTCCAAACTTCAGCAGTGCCACCTTAATTGTAACGTGCAATACTGGATTTAACTCATCTCAACAGAGTATAAAACTATAGCATAGCTCAATAAAATTGCTGTTCCACCACTGACTTCCCAAGAACTCTGGCCCTTGAAACTATGGAGAGGAAAGCAGAGGCTGAGCTATAATTCTGGGGAACTCACTGAGATACCCCCTCGTCTGGCTTATGCAGCTTTTGGAGACCCTGGGAGTGGGCCAGTCAGCAGCAGCAAAGTGATTCTCTTGGGGCTACCTTCTCTCCCCAGATTGAGGAGGTAGGGGCCTTGCTGCCTGCCTAGCAGCAGATTGCTATGTTATAAAAATATATAACACCAACATGTGTGTTCTCGCTCCAGAAAAATCCAGCTGTCGCCATCTGCACCTTGGACTTTGCCTCTTTGTAGGTTCCTACTACATGAGCTGATCTGACTGTCCTAAACTCTTGCCTAGTGCCCTGCTTGTTCCCCATTGAACATTGTGGGGGGCACTTTGTGCCTTTGTTAGCTCAGGATCACATGTTATATCTGTCCCATTTCTTGTATGACAAGAGAGGCATCTCTAGAAAGCCAAGGCTGCTACTAGCTTGACATTATTCGTCTCCAGCAAAACTAAGCTGCAAGCATTTCTGATTGGGATGGAGGGAGCAGAGGGAAGGGTTCTGACTGGCTTACGAGGGGGCAGCATCTGCTGAAGGTTGGAGTACGTTGCCCAAGTCTAGCAGCTCTTTAACCTGTCAGCTCTGGGTTCCCACACGTGGCAGGGTGGTGGTTGGTAGGAGTTATAAGGAGAGATATTCACAAGGCAGGGATTGGTCTCCTCCTCTTAAACATCCTTCAGCTTGGACTTTGTGCCAGCAATATTTCATGCTCATTGTGAGATAGGAGCAAGAGGGCCCTGGTAGTGACTCTGAGGGATGGGACCTAGGGGGATAGAAGGACCCTCCTCCACCAAGTCTGAGTGATCGAAGACCGGCTTTTAGGAAGAGTCTGAGCTCTCAGAAGAGGCTGTAGCTTTCATAGACTTCCTCATTCTGGCCCACTGGAACAAAACAGTGTTAGCCATCAACTCCTCTACCAGACATGACTGGACTGAGTCTGAACATCCGCAGCTGTTTAGAAAAAGGGTTCCGAACCTTGGATTTACCCTGCATCAGCAGTGCACGCTCCCAACACATGCCCCTTCCATGCCCCCTCCCAGTTACAGCCAATTAAGTTCCTGTTTCAGCACTTTCCTTCCTGCTGTCTTGCTATTCCAAAGGCCCCTCACCCAATCACAATGGATTTGTGAAGAGATTTGTTACAGAGGCACGTGGGTCTGTCCTGTCTGCTGTGAACAGGTGAAAGAGGAGTGTGGTTAACTTATTTCTTCGGAATTTACTTTTTGGTTGATAAAGCTGCACCTATTATAAGTGTGTTTTGGGTGTATCTTGATCCATAATCTGGTCTCCTTTGGAGAGCCCTGCAGAGGGAGCTGTAGCTGCTGTTCCAGCCAGATGAAAGCCTGAGGCCCCCAGACCTTCACCTCCGTAAACAACAGATCCTTTCACTTCCCATCTCATAAGAAAGGGAAAATGTTTCTTCAGGGAAAGGTTCAACTTCAAGCAGCTTTGTTGAGAAGTTTGTGAGCCCAGATACAGTTCAGTCCTGGGAAACCTACACTATCTAGGAGCCATCACAGTCCCAAGCTGTAACTTCAGAAGCAGTTTGCATCAAGAGTGTCAAGGAGTGGGGCCCATTCGAGAGAAACTAAGATAAGGGTTATCTCTCTGCCCCTTCCTGCTATGCAGGATGTGTTTATGGTGGTATTAGCCCTGGGAAAATCACTGATAATGTTAACACTGTTTATTTGTTGGTCCAGTATTACACTGTAATCTACAAGCTTTTGCATTAAGAAGGTTCTTCAGGTATATCAGTGCAGATCAACTATCCCACCTTGCCTAGACTGGTTTCGTAGAAACTATTCACACTTTGCAGACCATTTGGGCCTGAAACTGTGTATATGTTGACTAATTTGTTGATCCAATAAGAAGTGTCAATGCCTCTCTTGCCCACCTTTAGTGTAGTGACAGGTTTCAGAGTAGCAGCCGTGTTAGTCTGTATCCGCAAAAAGAGAAGTATTTGTGGCACCTTAAAGACTAACCAATTTATTTGAGCATAAGCTTTCGTGAGCTACAGCTCACTTCATCGGATGCATTCAGTGGAAAATACAGTGGGGAGATTTATATACACAGAGAACATGAAACAATGGGTGTTACCATACACACCGTAAGGAGAGTGATCAGGTAAGGTGAGCTATTACCAGCAGGAGAGCGGGGGGGATTTCTTCTGCTGATAATAGCTCACCTTACCTGACCACTCTCGTTACGGTGTGTATGGTAACACCCATTGTTTCATGTTCTCTGTGTATATAAATCTCCCCACTGTATTTTCCACTGAATGCATCCGATGAAGTGAGCTGTAGCTCACGAAGGCTTATGCTCAAATAAATTTGTTAGTCTCTAAGGTGCCACAAGTACTCCTTTTCTTTAGTGTAGTGTGACTTCCCCCTTCATTCACACATGAGGATCAGCTCACTGACTTAATGGAGCTGGGTTGATTTTCACCATCTAAAGATCTGTCCTAGTGGTTTTTGGAACGCATCCCTCTTTGTTGTTTGCTCCTTTGCATGTCCACTCTCACACCTCTTTCCTCTACAGCCTGGCTGTAAGTTAGCATGCGGATGTGCACACCCACCCACCCAGTCTCTTTGCTTGAAAGGAAAGCTGCACTCACTTTACTTTGCTCAACTGTATGAAAGGTCACCAGGTATGCAGCACTTGTTACTATAAATAAACTGCACACCGTTTAATTAACGACTTCAATTACAAATGGCAAGTCAAAGCTCTGTGCTGGAGGCAGTTGTCTGGCTGGAAAGTGCTGTCCTTTGTGACGCTGGAAGCGCCAACAGGGCAGCTGTCAACCACTTTACTTTAAGGCTGATCTAGCCATCAGAAGGAACTCTAGTCAGCTCGACACTAAAATGTTAAGTCAACCCAGCTATGTTGTCCAGGGGTATGGAAAATCCACCCCCTTGAGCAACGTAGTTAACCCGACCTAACCCCTGATGAGGGCAGTGCTAATTCTTCCATTGATCTAACTACAACCTCTTGGGGAGGTGGATTAACTACAGGAGACTCTCCCATCACTGTACTGAGTGTCTTCACTGAAGCGCTCCAGCAGCTATAGCATTTTAAGTGTAGACACAGCCTGCGTATGGTTTACTAGTGAAGCATTTTGTGTCAAGATTAGTGATCCAAGATTATGAGGTTGGGACAATAATATGGATAATTATGATTCTCTGCTGGGCACCATTATTAGCTGGTGAAGTGACAGTGCTTTGTGCTGTAACCACATTTTAAACCATGACCATTCCAGTTGGATATCGTCATCACCTGCTAACTTATTGAAAAGGAAAGGAGGGTAAGATTTCGTGTGCTAAAGGAGGGGTGTGCATCCCTAGCAGTTCTCCCTCTGTGCTGGCTTGAAGTGGTTTCCATCATATACAGCAGTGTTCTCAAACTTTTGTACTGGTGACCCCTTTCGCATGGCAAGCCTCTGAGTGCGACCCTCCCTTATAAATTAAAAACACTTTTAAATATATTTAACACCATTATAAATGCAGGAGGCAAAGCGGGGTTTGGGGTGGAGGCTGACAGCTCGCGACCCCCCATGTAGTAACCTCACCACCCCCTGAGGGGTCCCAGCCTCCAGTTTGAGGACCCCTGCTATACAGGGTTTACAGTGTGATTCAGTGGCTCCCAGCACCCCTGCCCTCTTCTTGTCTTCGCACATGGTGGCCAATCCTTTGAGCTGGTGGTTGCAGAAGAGATGCAGGAGGAAAGACCTGTGATGAACTGTCTGGGTGTGTATAGCATCACCTGCAGGGGAGGAAGGTTTGCAGCATCTGGGTTTAATACCACACACTCTTCTCTCCTGCAAGCAGTGATTATACTGTACGTAGAAGTCAGCAACATAGGACTGGCTGGTGAAATTTCAGGGCAGCAGGGGGCTTGTCCCAAGCTATGAGGAGGAGTTAGAGCTTGCTTAGATCAGCTGAAAGGGAAGGCTTCTGCCTCATCTCCTTCTCCTGCACCACTGATGGGATGTGGAGGGCCATAGCCGATGTTTAGCTCCACAGCCCACTCATCTCACACATTTTGGACAGTGATGAGAGAGAGAGGGAGAGAGAGAACCTGAATGTGCAGCTGTTACCCACAAATGCAGTGAGCTGATAGTTCTCCCATCTGTTGTAATCTGAGCACACACAGGGATTCCCCTCAGTTTCATTAAGTGGCGGGTAGTAGTGATTAAAATACTTAAAGGGCTGAAAAAAACGATTTATGCAAGAAGATGGCGAACTAGGGAGATTTGGTTCGATTACAGTGAGAACTCATGCTGGCTGGATAGGGGGCAGTCTATTAGGATCTGAAGGGTACAAAGGCCCAGGGGGAAGTGAAACGGTTTTGGGTGGTTTGGGAGGGAGGGGGTGTAGAAGTAATAGTGATGAGCTGGAACTGAACAAAGGAAAGTTTCAGCTGAAGGGCAGCCAGGATGTCCTTCCACTGAGATCCATTTGAGCCCGGTGCAGCCTGCTAGGAGGGGGCGTGGTGAAAGCCTCATTGTTTGAGTTATTAAAAGTGGCTTGGCCAGAGCCCTGGAGAAGACATCTCAGGGGATGACTCCATGTTTGCCTCCAGGGCAGTGGGATTTGTTCCTCACCCTCATCTGATTTCTAGGATTGATCAGTCCCCAGAATCTTGGACAGCTGAAGCACTACAGCTGAGCTTGGCCTAGGTTAAATGAGGAATGAGAGGTCTGGGCAGGAAACCCACGGGGAAAAGAAACTCCTTTTGGGGACACTCCTGCATTGAATTCAATGTCTGTGTGGCTGAAATCCACGTGGCTGTACGGTAAAAGGAGGAGAGGGGGTCGTCAGCCCTGCCCTGCAGCAGGACCACGCAAAACCTGGTCTGCTTTAGTTTGCTCTCCCTCCACCTCCAGGCAGGCTGGGTGTGTGCTCAGCCCCTTTGGGGGAGTAGCAACACTTTCTCCTGCAGGCTCTAGGTAGATTCTGGCTCCACAGTGTTTGCACAGCAAGCAAAGCTAGCAGGTTTTGATGTTTACATATCAGCAGGTACCCAGCCCTGCCTCGGAAACCTGCCCCAGCTAGTGCTGCTTTGGAAGTGTGGTGGGGGTTTTACTACAGAGGGAGACAAGGCAGAGGGCTTGAAGGTCAGCTAGAAGATATGGGTCTGACAAAACTTCCATAGAATAAACCTGGCCGTGCTAGAGACTGGGTTAGTAATGGCATTAAGAGCTATTGTGTAACCTCCTGTGTCTTGGAGAAGTCAGTAGGTCTAGGATTAGAAGCATCCCATTAGCAATTTTACTTGCAGAGCCTTTATCTGCCAGCCATGCCCTTGATTCCTTCTCATGGCACCTGCCTGATCACCTGCCAGGTGAAGATTTGTTCTCCACTCTCTACAGTGCTGATGTCAGCCAGTCCACACTTATTCCAGGGAGGAATTAAGTCCCTGGATGGGAACTCAGGAGAGGTAGGCTCTGTTCCCTGTTCTGCCACAGGCTTCCTGCATGAACTTGGGCAAGTCACTTAGTGCCTGAGGCTCAGTTTTCCCATCTGTAAAATGGGGATAATAACCCTTCCTTTGTCCGGCTTATCTGTTAGGAATCTATGCTCTCTGCGGCGGGTCTGTCTCTTCCTGTATGTATAGCACCTAACACAGTCTTGCTTGGGACCTCTATGTGCTACTATAATACAACACAAATAATACAGACTAGTTATAATACAAATAACTAGTTTCTTTCAGCCGGCCCAGCAGACATTTGTCATCTCTGCAGTACGCCTGGTAGTGGGGAACATTGATTGCCCACCCCGCCTCCACAGTGTGTGTGGAGCATGCTACTAACTGTGCAAGCTGTTACATTTTAACCCAGTGTATTTCATTTCTAACTTATTCCTGTGTCATTCCCACTAGCCTTGGATCTGTCCTGCCAGGACCTCGACCGCTTCAATGATCGCAATGTGTAGAGGCAGCAGGAGCCTGGTAATCATTTGTTCTGTCCGCTGGACGAGCTGAGCCTCTAGCTCCTCCGGTCCAGCTCAGACTTTAACCTCCTGTGGAGCAAAGACTGCAACCTGCTGCACCCCTCCGCACAGAGCCACCTGCGCAGCACGCCACCTTCCAGTGTCTGCAGGCTGGCGGTGCCGGGAACTATACCTGCACACTCTACCTGAACGGCCACAGAAACGCCTCCTGCACCATCAGGCTGACCATGGAAGGTAGGGCTGGGGGAAGTCACCCACAAATATAGCTGCAGAGCCAAGATTAAATACCTGGCTTGAAACACTGATGCCTCCTGCTGGCTGTTGCAGGGAGTAATATTGCTGTGCTTCAGAAGAGGCCGTTTGACTGCTTATGTTACTTCTGGCTTATTAGACACACACACAGGGTGTCCTATTCTGCGCCTCTGATGCTCAGCAAGCAAACCTCCATGAGTGTAGGAGGGGGGAATTGCAGGAATAAGTGCCCTTGCATAGGTAGCTTTGCTTTGACAGGAAGTATTAAAACAATACTTATAGTGTAATGTAATCCACCTCCCCCACTAAATACTCACCCATTTCCGAGCATCTGTTCACTGAATTTAAAAAGAAACTAGGGCAGCAGCAGGGACCAAAATAAATCCTAAATGGAGGTGATAAAGAGCAAGTATACACAGTCCCCTGACTACTCACTGGTATGGAAACATAACTGAGGAGGAAGCAAAGGCTGCAAGCCTCACGAGCTGTGCTTTGACAGAATGAAATAGCGAATGAGCAACACAAGAGAGGGGGACAGGGGAGTAAAGTGGTTTGCGACATAGATTCGACGAGGTGGAGCAGTACAGGGAAGCCATTACAGATGGTGCAAAATGCAGAGGAAAAGGCTCTTGCACCAGCTGTGAAGGGTCAAACGCCTCAATTCCCTTTGCAATATTACTCTTGACTGCAGTGGGAGTTGAGTCGGGCACAGAGAGGAGGCTGCTGCTTTGAAGAGGAAAAGCAGCAGCCATGAGGAGATAGGGCATGATGCTGCCGCCCACTGCTCAGCTCCCAAGACATTGCCTCTTTTAGAGGGCAAGTAGCTCTTTGCCATGGTCTGCACTAATCCTTAGAGCTGGAGAGGAAATGGCAAATATGGGTGCAAATGTGAGTGAAAGTCACTTGCTCTGTATGTATCATTGTCATTTCAGAAGTGACACATTTTAACCAACTTTCACTAACAAAAGGTGTAACACACTGCACATGTGCACAACACAGCCTAGACACCTTAGTTGTCTGTGGGGAAACCTTCAACACAATTCCCTACGCCTTGTGCTATAGGAGGCATTTTGTTAGCAAGTAGGAGGCTGGTCTAGTCATTGGGAACCAGGTGCTGAGGGGGAAAAACATGGCCACACACCCTACACCAGTGTGTTACAAACAGACTGTATGGCTGGGCAGTTGGGGCATTTTGCATGTCTGTATTATCGGCAATGTGGATCTGCTACTCATTTTACTAACCATGTGACCAATTTCTTCATTTCGGGTGCAGAACTGACTGACTTTAGAGAGTGCTGTCAGAGGCACAAAGGAAGACAGGAGAAAACAGATGTTGTTCTATTATAAAGGAAAGGATTTAATATTAGGTGTAAACTGAAGAGATGTGAGACTTATTTTTAAATGGATGCTGTCCCTTTAAAGACTCTCTCTCTCAGCATTTCCTTCCCCTCCCGTGTAGATCTGTGCAGTGTGCCTCCAGAAGTCCTCTTCCCATCCAGCAACCAGACTTTGGAGCCTGCCTTGGGAAGCCAGATAACACTGAACTGTACTGTGCGGCTGCCCTTTCAGCAGCACTGCAACCGCGTCCTGCAATGGATGAAAGATGGCCACTGGCTAGGCAAAGAGAGCAGCCAATACACCAGCGAGGAAAAAGACTGGTAAGGAATCTGACCTGTCTATAAATAGAAAGAGGCACTGAGGTGGCTACTGACAGGCAGGGCAAATTGCTTCAATCATTGCTTAAATAGCATTCATGCATCCAGTGAGCCACCGTTCACTGGGAGTTCTGGACCCACAATCAATAACAGAGTCTCCACTGAGCAGTTTCCTATCGATAAGGTCAACTTCAGATGAGTCCTGGACCCCAGGGTACCATTGCTCAAACCTCCAGCAAGACATCCTCTTAGCCAAAGTGCCGATCCAAGCCACGTCCCTTTCTAGCCCTGGCTTCCCCGCACAGCTCTGCTAGTGCGCCTCAGACCTCATCTGCAGCACCTCTGTTCTTCTAGGCCCACCCACAGCTCTGCCAGGGCACTTGAGTCCTGACCTAGAACACCCCGTTAGTCTTGTCCACAGCTCAGACAATGCACCTGAGGGCAAGTCTACACCACAGCGCTACATCAGCGCAGCTGCAGCACATCTGGCGAAGACGCAATATGCCGACGGGAGAGCACTCTTCTGTCTGCATAATTACTCTTCCTTGGCGAGAAGCGGAAGTGCTGGTGTGGACAATGCAAAAACTTGCATTGCTTGAGGTGGGAGGGGGGCAGAGCTATTTCACACCCCTGAGTTGATCAGTCTTGATCTGCAGCACCCTTGCTATTCCAGTCCTGGCCTTCCCTCTACATCTGAGGGCACTTCAGTCCTGACTCACACTTCCCATCCTGGGCCTCTTGAGGAAATATGCCAGTGATGTCAGCTTTTTAGGTGGAGGTTGGGTACAACTGAGAAGTGGCCAAGATCACCCAACATCTATTAATTTGTGACTGACACAAGATTTGAACTCATGTCTCTGGAGTACAAGCACACTGTTCTATTTATCCTCTTTCTCTAAGGTATGTTCTAAAAATTGTAATTCCATAGACACAGATAAACAGTGAAGCACGATGTGGAAAAAAAACAAACCAAGCCCCACAAAGCATGTAGGCCAGCTGATGTTTCTGCCCGTTTTATATTATGGCTCAGTGAATTAAACACAATACTCTCTGCAGCACAAAGTGTGGGGTCCGAGGGCTGCTACATGCTCTGGCTCAGATTCTGATGTCAGTGCCACCAGAATAAAGCCACTGTGATCGGCGAAGCTCCATTGAGTAGGACACTAGAGTCAGTGGGAGCAGAATCTGGCCCTGTGTATTTTTCCCTCAGTTACAGAGGCATATCTACTAGCTAACCTTTTGCTGCTCCACTGTGAAAGCCATAGAGCTTTCAACAGCTCCCAACAGGTCTCCTTGCTTAACAGTAGTTAGCCTGAGCTTTGTGGTGTTTCACTTGCAAAAACTCTTTTCTACTGGAGCATGTTCCCTGCTCCCAGAGGGGCATACTGGTTTGAGAGAGCTAAAGACACAAGGCTAGCAGCACGTTGAACCCTGGGCCACTTCTACACTGCAGCCAAGTACATTATCCCTGTTGCCAGCAGGAGTTGCAGCTATGAGGGGTGTGATGATGGCCACGCATGAATGGAAAGTAGGGCCAGCAGCTTAACCCATCTTAGGCAAGTCATCTGAAGTTCTTCCTTGTTGGAGGTCATTGTTAGCCGAGAGGGGGTGTGTGCACACACACACAGACACACTTATCCATCTCCTTTGTTGGCCAGGCAATGGGAAGTCCCGCAAAGCAATTCCTACCTTTTTGAAGGCTTTCCTGCCACTGAAAGTTAGATTCTAATTATAGATTTAGGATGACTATTAGGATGCTGACTTTAGGATGCTATTTTTTAAAATCTTGGCTTTGGTCTCTAAGTGCAAGGTGGATTCCTGCTGAACTGGACCCTGGCTAATGATTTAGTGTGTAAAGGAACAAAAGGCTAACTCTAAAGTAAAGACATTCAAGAAGATCACAGAATCCTATCAGAGCTTAGAGGTGGACAGCACTATCCTTCTATCCAGTCCTTCTCCCTTTCCAGGCTGAATTGTTCCCTACAGTATAGCAGAATGACAAAACCGAGTTCCTGTCGGCTACGTGTAGAACCCTAACTGGAAGCTCCTTCTTGTTCTCTTCAGTCTCCTAGTTAAAATAGGAAACCATTTCCATGAAAGTGTACCCTGTAGCACTGCACTGATGCTAGCCTCTTTTGTCCCTCAGGATCAGTGATAACGGAACAGAGAAGTTCATGTCCAGCCTTCTGGGGGTGAACCTGACAAGCGACGAGGACTACGGTGTGTTTGCCTGCTGGGTTAGGAATACCACAGCCACTTTCACACTACAGAGATCAGGTAGCTCTTTGGGCATTTACAGCACGCTGATAATGGTGCAAGGAAGGGGTTACTATACCATTTGTGGTGGTGTCTACTGGATAAGGCCTTTCAACAAGGTTTGGCCAGTCTATGGTGGAAAGAGAATGCTACAGGTATTTCTGAGATGAGTTGGGAGTAACTTGAATATCCTGACTAACACTTTCACAGTAACTAGCTCTAATATTGCAGACTGAGTGAGAGATGCTGAGTGCCTCACAGGCTGTCCAGAGTAAAAAAATGCCCCCCCTAAAAATAAATTCCAATGGAATCTAGCAAAAAGAAAAGGAGTACTTGTGGCACCTTAGAGACTAACCAATTTATTTGAGCATGAGCTTTCGTGAGCTACAGCTCACTTCATCAGATGCATACCGTGGAAACTGCAGCAGACTTTATATATACACAGAGAATATGAAACAATACCTCCTCCCACCCCACTGTCCTGCTTACCAGCTTACCAACAGGACAGTGGGGTGGGAGGAGGTATTGTTTCATATTCTCTGTGTATATATAAAGTCTGCTGCAGTTTCCACGGTATGCATCTGATGAAGTGAGCTGTAGCTCACGAAAGCTCATGCTCAAATAAATTGGTTAGTCTCTAAGGTGCCACAAGTACTCCTTTTCTTTTTGCGAATACAGACTAACACGGCTGTTCCTCTGAAATGGAATCTAGGGAGATCTTGACCTCAGACACACAGTGGGACCTCAGTGGACCTCAGACACACATAGTTAGGGCTCCAGATTTGTCACAGTGGGAAGAACCTCTTGGATACTGTGATTTTCCTGTTTGTCTCGGATTTCTCTTTCTGTCCGTGATTTTAATAAACTCACTCTGCAGCGGTAGCTGCTGCAGCTGGGCCCTGCTCCACATCCTGGACATTGCAACCTGGCACATAGGGTCACAGTACTGCCCAGGTTTGGCCCGGCTGCCCCTCCATCATGCCGGGGGGCATCCAGATCACATCTGATTGAGTGGCATTGTAACTTGACAGGAGCGAGGGGGTCACAGAGCCCAGAATCAGGCCCAGCTCTGAAGGACATGAGCCACTGTTGTAGGGTTAGTGTGGGGCTGGCTCATGCTCCAGCTCCCCCCTCATTTGTTGCAGCATTTTTTACCCAAGTCACAAGCCCCATGACTTTTACTAAATTTACCATGCCTGCTCCATGATTTTTGATTTAAAATCTGTTATGACAAGTCTGCAGCCCTAATCAGAGTCCATAAACCCACTGTTGTGTCGCACTCACACCATACCTGTTAAACAGGGAAGGACGGCCCTGGGATTGCTGCAGGGCTGAGGCTGACTAGTCCTCGGGCAGCCTGGCTGTAGAGTGAAGAGGCTGTTGTTTTGGCAGTAATGAAATAACCAGAGCATGAAGTCAGTTTAGCAGTGAGACTTTCACGGTGGGCTTGTCAAGACTCCCTTGGATCTCTGCCCTGTGAGCAAGAGGATACTTTGGAACCCCCCTTCTGGAGCAGTCCTGCTTGCCATGCTGCATACACTGAGTAATAACACAGCCACTGTGTGTGTGGAATTGCCCAGCCAGGACACTGAGTGGCAGGACCTACTTTGATTAGCTCTTGGGTTTAAAGGAACATGCAGTGTGCGTTAACCCTTTCAGGGACTTGCTGCGGCAAGTCCTAAACTTACTGCCAAATTTTCGCAGCTGTTGCTCTTTTGAAAGTAAACCCTCCAGCAATGAGACGCTATTGGCATGGGGGAGGGGGGGAGCAAAGGGGGCTTTATTATGTAAAGATGCTCTCTTTCAATATACTGACAGAATATGGTGCCATATGATGGCACCGTAACCTGAAGCCCTGGAGAAGGGGCTGCCTCCAGGAGGCTAGTCACTTAGGTCAAGACTTCTTTGTTTTAAAGAACTGTGAGAAGGAGTTGATGATGGGGAATCTCTGGATTCAGCCCAACTGAACATAGTCTCTCCAGATTTGTGGTGTGCGTGCGTGCAGGCATGGATGCCATAGTCAAGGGATTCATTAGTCCCATTCTGAAGAAGGAGAATTCAGCTCTGACACTGTGACTGACTGTAGCCAGGAAGCACCAAATATCCTGGACCCCAAACCCTCTCATCTGTTTCTAGGCTGCTGTCACAGTGTTTGGGGGCCCCTTTAGATCACGGAGCCTGTATCACCGATCACTGTGATCCTTCTTTAAGCTGAGGCAGCTGAGCCACTCTTCACGTTGGTGGCTAGAGCTGTAAAAAACCCATTAGATGAGAGTCCATCCCATGTACGTGCAGGGCAGCATCCACAGGCAGACGCTTCAACTGTTTTACTAGATTGTAATCTGACAACACGTGGTTTTAGCTAAGAGCTTTGAGGCCAGTAACCTCTGTTCAGTTCTTCCCTCTGCAGACCATAACCTACCCCAAATTCCTCATTCACCAAGGTATAAATTCCTTTAGTTCAAATGCTAAATGTACTGAAAATGCCCTTCCCTGTAATTGCAGAAGCTGCTGGACATGTGAGTGCAGTGCTGGCAGCCCTCCTCATCCTGGGGCTGCTGCTGCTCATGGCTGTGATCTATGTGAAGTGCCGCTTGAATATGCTGCTCTGGTACAGGAACCGTTACGGGGAGCTGGAGATCAATGGTAACCCTTAGGACTTTTGTGAATCTGGCTTTCAGTGCCATTTGCACTTTGGGTATGAGGGAGACGGGGAAAGACTAATGATCCAGACATTCCGGGCTTCTGCTGCTTCTCTAAAGGCTTCATGAGAAAGGGATTGGAAAGCAGACGTGAACTAGAATTGCCCCAGACCCAGGGGATCTTCCAGCCTCCACTTGCCCACAGGGTGACTCCCACCCAAGGGCCAGCCTGCCACCTCCTAGCTTGCCCAGAGTGCTCCATATAGCAGAGACTTTTTTTTTTTTTTTTTAAGATAATCCCTAATGTGTCTGGATTGTGACTCCTTCTTCCTCTAATAGAGTCTCTCTCCTCTTGGTTTAGTACGTTGTGAACGGAGGCTACTCCGTATGTCGAGTTAAGGTTGAAGCTAGCTTCCTCTTAAAAGCATGATTTGTCAATCCACTCCACCACAGCCAAACCAATCAACTTGAAAATTCCTATACCACATCTCATCTGGAGGCTCAGTTCTTCAAAAAAGTTTGCAGCAAATCACTCAGGGAGTTTCAGGAATGACATTCTTCTTCGAGTGCTTGTTCACCTCGATTCCAGTCAGGTGTGCGCATGCTGCATGCACAGTCATTGTAAACTTTTTCCCCTTAGCAGCTCCCGTTGGGTCGGCTAGGGAGCCCCATGGAATGGTGCTCTCATGGTGCTCAATATATAACCCTGCTGACCTGACCCCACTTCAGTTCCTTCTTACTGTCTGTGGTAGCATTGGAAGTGCGTTCGCTTTCTTGCAGGTGTTCCCTTAGCCTATTACTTAGTCCTACCCAGTTTCTTGTTTTAGTAGTTAGTATAGAAATTGGAGAGTGGGATCATTCCTATCCCCTCACCCTCACCTTGGGCTTCAGGGCATGCTTCAAGCCTAATAGCGATCCCCACGACTCGTGCCTGAAATGTCTAGGGGAGGTGCATCGGTCTGAGTGCTGCAAGATTTGTAAAGCTTTCAAGCCTAGAACTAGAAAGGAGTGTAACTTCGTTTAAAACAGTTACTGATGGAAGCTGCACTCCGTCCAGCTGCACCTGACTGCCAAGGCCCAGGCCTGAGCTCGGTGCGGAGCGCCCCGGTGTCTGTCTGCGAATTGGTGCCAAGGAACGACTACAGTGCGAGAGACCATCGGCACTGAAGATCCCCGGCACCGCAGCAAAGAGCGGTGCCCTGGCACCGATCCACATCTCCAGTGCCCCACAAGCGCCATAAGAAAGCGGACAGAGGGCGCGATCCTCAGAGAGTGAGACCATCAGGGGAGGCTTTGCTGCTCCAGAGGAAGGACTCAGCTCCCAAGCAGCAAGAGCTCGTGCTCTCGACTCTGGTGCCCAGTGACTCTCCGGCACCTCAGTGCCTGGTGGAGGTGTTGGAGCCCCCCTCCACCTCGGACACTTTCGAGGCTGCTAAGGAGCTCATCAGCACCTCAGCCCCTGGCCATTAGACAGAAGCCTCCAGTACCACCTAGATGGGTGCTGTCTAAAGACAAGCCCGTGTTGATGAGGCTCTTCTCGTCGCTGGACTGGCACTGTTCCAGGTCTCCATCGCCACAACACTCCCCAGCACCGGCCTCAGTACAAGATTGCATGACAGCGGGAGTGCAACGATCTATGTCATCAGCACCGAGGGGTCGGCACCAATCTCAAACACCCTTGCAGGGCTAGCACCGACACGTGGCACAGAAGCCCAGCAGCTCTTCCCCGGCACCGGACGCATGGCACCGGTCTCGGTCATGGGACTGCCGGCACTAATCCTCAGTGCGATCGTTGCATCACCAATCCCCAACCTCCTCTTCACGGCACTGACCATTGGCACAGGGGTTGTCAGCACTGCTGTGGTAGTCACCCTCGGGATCTTCGGATTCGGATGCCGACCCACATTACTCAAGGCGCAGTAGACCTAGATCCGGTAAGCGCCTGCCGCACAATGGCCCTTCTGGACCCTCTGGGCTTACCATCAAGCCCAGGCTTCTAGGTTGGTGGCCCCGGGAAATCACCCTTCCCAGTCACCGATGGATAGACCTGCCCCTCGGGTTACAGAAGCGACCCTCTCCAGACCACCCCCTCATACTACAGAGGAGACGGCAGAACCGGCTCCTGAACCACCCATAGCCCAGGACACATCCGACCGGGTCGGACCAATGGAGAAGTCCAATGCAACCCAGGAACAACCCTGGCAGATACAGGGCCATGAGGACCCTGTCCCCACACTTGCTTCCTCATCATCCTCGCCTGATGAGGCAGTGGCAGGAGTGTCAGCTTCAGGTCCTCTGCCCATTGACCACAGGGTGCACCAGGACCTGCTCCGCTACATTGCCCGTAACATGGGCCTACAGGTGGAGGACCCAATGGTGGACATTTTTGCCCCAGAGGGTCCTTCCAGAGTGGCATTGCCTGTCATTAAAACTATCCATAACAATTATAATACCCTGTGGCAGACTCCAGCCTCCATTCCGCCTGCTGTGAGGGACGTGGAGAGAAAGTACTTCGTTCCCTCCAAGGGATAGGAGTATTTTTTTCTCCCACCCTTCCTCCCTGGTGGTCTCAGTGGTGAATGAGAAGGTGCGCCAGGGGCAACAAGCGCCAGCACCCAAGGCTAAGAAGGCCAAATGTATGGACCTCTTTGGCAGGAAAGTACATGCTACGGGGGGCCTACAGCTGAGGATAGCCAACCAGCAGGCTATCCTCAGCAGGTATAACTTTAACTCTTGGGACTCTATGTCCAGGTACAAAGAGTTGCTCCCCGCAGAGTCAAAAGCGGAGTTCTCAGCTCTGGTTGAAGCGGGGAAGGGAGCAGCCAGGACATCCCTACAGGCCTCCCTTGACTTGGCAGACTTGATGGCATGTACCATTTCCTCTGGGGTGGTCATGAGGAGAACCACATGGCTCCAAGCTTCTGGGCTTTCCCCGGAAGTTCAACAGACCCTGCAGGACCTTCCCTTTGAGGGTGTAGGGCTGTTTTCGGACCAGACAGACTCAAGGCTTCACAGCCTAAAAGACTCGAGGGCAACGATGAAATCTCTGGGGATGCACATGCCTGCTACCCAGAGAAAGCCTTTCAAGCCTCAACCTCAGCGGCAACAGAGGCAATACCAGCCCCGCCCGAGGCAGGATACATACCACCGTAGGGGCAGGAACAATAGGCGTACACCTTCTAACCCTCCCTCAGGCCAGGGGCAGGGCTTGACCAAGCCATCGTCGGGATCCAAACAAGGGTTTTGAAGGGACACCTGAGGACAGCGCACCCGCCACTATCCTGGATCCTTCCCCCACTTTCTGAACTGTCTATCCCACTTCTACCATGCGTGATCCCATATAGCATTGGACCGCTGGGTTCTTTGCATGATAGAAGTGGGATATGCTCTCTAATTCTGCTCCTCCCCATCCCTCCAACCCCCTTTCCCGTCCCTCTTCAGGGACCCTTCTCACGAACAACTCCTTAGCTAGGAGGTGCAATCGCTCCTCACCATAGGGACAGTGGAGGAGGTTCCTCAAGAGCTAAAGGACAAGGGATTCTACTTTCACTATTTCCTAATCCCCAAGGCAAAGGGGGGGTCTCAGACCCATCTTAGACCCACGAGGACTCAACCAGTTCATGGTACAGTTGAAGTTCCGAATGGTCTCCCTGAGCACGATTATCACTTCCCTGGATCCGGGGGAATGGTATGCCACCCTCGACATGAAAGACACGTACTTTCATATAGCCATTTGGCTGGCCCACAGATGTTTCCTGAGGTTTGTTGTTGACCGCATACACTATCAGTTCACGGTGCTCCTATTCGGTTTATCGACGGCCTTTCAGGTGTTCACCAAGTGCATGTTGGTGGTCGCAGCTTTTCTCTGCAAGAGATAGATACAGATGTATCCCTACTTCAACGACTGGCTTCTGCGGGGGCGCTCCAGGGAGCAGGTGGAGTCCTAGGTCTGGTTAGTCAGAGAGACCTTCCAGAGACTAGGTCTCCTCCTCAACGTGGACAAGTCAACGCTGTCACCGACCCAATGAATAGAATTCATTTGGGGCGGTGCTGGACTCGGTTCAGGCAAGAGCCATACTACCAGAGTCCAGATTTCAGGCGCTGACAGGCGTCATTCAGACTCTCAGGTGATACCCCACCACAACCGCGAGGACATGCCTCAGTCTCCTGGGACACATGGCGACATGCACCTATGTGGTCAGGCATGCCAGGCTGAGGCTCAGACCACTCCAGGTGTGGCTCGCCTCAGCTTATCACCCAGGTCGAGACAATTTGGATTCAGTAGTAACGGTGCCAGAGTGAGTCTTAGATGTCCTATGCTGGTGGCTGGACCCTCGCATGGGACTCCTTCGCAGACCATTCAGCACCCCTCAACTGTCCATGACCTTAGTAACGGGTTGGGAGACCCAGCTGGGAGACATACAGACTAAGGGCAGGTGGTCGCAGTTCAAGTTCCCACTTCACATCATTATGAAGGAGCTCAGAGCAGTGAGACTAGCCTGCCAGACCTTCCATACCAGAATACAGGGTCCATGCATGGCAGTGCTGACTGACACCACCGCCACGTTTTACATAAACAAGCAGGGCAGGAGGCTGTCCAGCTGTGGGATTTTGGTATAGCCCACTCCATTCACGGAATGCATGGAATCGGTGAGGGAGGTGCTGCTGGAGGTGTCCTATCTCCCTGGAGTACGGAATGAGCTTGCAGACCACCTCAGCAGGTTGTTTCGCAACCATGAGTGGTCCATCTGGCCAGATGTCATACATTCCATCTTCCAAAGGTGCAGGTTTCCCCAGGTAGACCTGTTCGCCACCAGGAGCAACAGGAAGTGTCCAACATTTTGCTCTTTCCAAAAGCACAGTCCGGGCTTTATCTTGGACGTGTTCACATTACCTTGGGGGACTGTCTAATGTATGCTTTCCTGCCGATACCACTCGTCCACAAGGTACTGCTCAAGATCTACAGAGACAAGGCGGAGGTAATTCTGCTGACTCCGGTGTGGCCATGCCAACACTGGTACACCACACTCCTGGACCAGTCAGTGAACATCCCAATCGCACTGCCACCCCCAATCTGATCACACCAGACCACGGTCGCCTCCTTCACCCGGACCTCCAGTCCTTCCATCTTGTGGCTCAGAAGCTTCATAGCTAAACCCAATGGAGCTCCAATGCACAGAATTGGTGAGGGAGGTGCTTCTTGGTAGCAGGAAACTTTCCACGAGGGCCACTTACCTATCTAAGTGGAAAAGGTTCTCATGCTGGTGTGAGCGCAGTCGCCTGCCTCCACTTCGGGCATGTATACCGTTCATCCTGGAGTATCTACTGCATCTGAAGCAGCAAGGTTTGGCCGGATCATCCATCAGAGTACATCTTGCGGCCATCTTGGCGTTCCATCCGGGAGAGTTGGGGCGCTTGGTATTTGCCAACCTTATGGTGGGCCATTTCCTGAAAGGCATGGAAAGGCTATGTCCACAGTCCCGACCACTGGTACCTGCTTGGGATTTCATTCTGGTCCTCACTAGGCTAATGGGGCCCCATTCAAACCACTGGCTACATGCTCCCTTCTGTATCTCTCGTGGAAGGTGGCATTCCTAGTTGCTATCACATCAGCCAGGAGGGTGTCAGAGTTAAAAGCGTTGGCCTCCAACCCCCGCTACACAGTCTTCCATAAGGACAAAGTACAACTCAGGCTGCATCCGGCCTTCCTGCCCAAGGTGGTATCCCAATTCCACATTGGCCAAGACATTTTTCTACCAGTCTTCTATCTCAAGCCACATGCTACTGCACAGGAGCAGAGGCTTCACTCGCTAGCTATGTGGAGAGCGCTAGCATTCTAGACTGGGTGCATAAAGCCTTTCAGGAAGTCAAACCAGCTGTTTGTAGCAGTGGCAGACTGGATGAAGGGGCCTCTGGTCTCCTCACAATGCATTTCTTCCTGGATCAGGGACTGCATCCGTACCTGCTACGACCTCGCCAAGATCCCAGCCCGCGCTATTACAGCCCACTCAACACGAGCTCAAGCGTCGTCTGCCACGTTCCTGGCCCAGGTGCCCATCCAGGAGATCTGCAGAGCGGCAACCTGGTCCTCGGTGCACACGTTTACCACCCACTATGCCATCACCCAGCATGCTAGAGAGGATGCAGGGTGGTTCTCCAATCAGTGATTCCTTAACTCTGAGTCGTCCCCCGCAGGGAGAGCTTGGGAGTCACCTGATTGGAATCGACGTGAACAAACACTCGAAGAAGAAAAGACGGTTACTCACCTTGTAACTGTTGTTCTTCGAGATGTGTTGTTCACTTCCATTCTAATAACCACCCTCCTTCCCCCTGCCGGAATAGCCGGCAAGAAGGGACTGAAGGGGGGTCGGGTTGGCAGGGCCCTATATTGAATGCCATGAGGGCACCACTCCAGGAGGCTCCCTAGCTGACCCAAGGGGAGCTGCTGAGGGAAAAAGTTTCCGACGACCATGCATGCAGCGCACGCGCACCTGATTGGAATGGACGTGAACACCACATCTGAAAGAACAACATTACAAGAAGGTGAGTAACTGTCTTTTTTCCCCTGTGATTTCTTTAAAAAGATACACGTGTGAACTTAAGATGCTGTGTAAGTGATTCTATGTTCCTAAAAAGATACAATGGCATTCACTTTACAGAGTTTCTGTATTCTTATGAAAACTGGTACTGTTTCTTTAACTCTTATGAAAGACACTTTTCACTGTTAAGCCTTGTCTACACACGTCTGCACCAGTTTATGTAAACCAGTTAAAATACTTCTGTAGATACTTACTTCAGTTTAAAAATGGCTGTTCTAGTACATCCTTACCTGAGTGCCCCCTTCGAGCATTGTGCAGTGCAGCCTCAGTTTCCCAGCGGTTCTTCCTCTGCTCCGCCCAGCCTCCAGCACTTTCTGGGTGGCAGAGACTTAGCCCCCTGGCTAGGTGACTTGCAGTTCTACCCCTTCCAGGGCACTCAAAATCCAAAATAAGCCTAAAGCAATATGAAATTAACCTCTTCTCCGTTCCAGGAGATGTGCTAGACATCAGTCTTCCCCAGTCTCTGGTCTTAGCCAGCCTTCTCTCCCACAGTGAGAGCCTAGCATCTGGGCTCTCTGTCTGCTCCCCAAGGGCCCAGGCCTCTTCCTGTTAAACCCCTCCCTGGAAGCCTGCTTCCTGCTCCAGGTGTCTCCAGTTGGGCTGATTTGGCCTTTGATAGCCAATTTACCCTCTTCCTGTCTTGCATTCCCCATTATAGGTCCAGTTGTGGTTTAGATTGAATCTGTTCCCATTCAACTTTTGCTCCAGTTGAACTAAATTGGTTTAAGTAACACCTTAAGTTAAATCAGTGCAACCCATCTTGAAGACAAGACCTTTAGGATTATTGTCAAAGTGAAGCTGGTAAGTGATTCTGTAGCAGAAGGTATTACAGGTTAGAAATCCTAGGAATTCCACTCTACAGAAACACCTAAACATTGGAAAGTTGGCAAATACATAAGTCACCTAGACATCCTTAACTCTTCCCCATTGTGCCATCAGCACACAGATAATCTTTGCAGTCCGTCACAAAAGTTCAGTATGATTTTTTTTGCAGTCATTAATGAGATGTCCCTGAGTAATGGACGGATAAAGTGTTCTCCAGGTTTCTGGTTGTTAGTGTGGTGGGGCAGAGTTAAGATTGTTTGGGTGACCTTAATTCTGTATTATCCACTGTCTTGGCTAAATTTTTATTTGGGACTTTTTGTTGTCATTTCTTTAAAATTGCAATACTCTTAAGGATTTTTCGCTCAAAATATATAATGGATTCTTTCAACATTAACTCAAATTATGGTTGTTTGCAAGGTTGCCATAGCCATATTTGGTCCCAGGATATGAGAGGTAGGTGAGATGATGTCTTTTATTGGACCATCTTCTGATGGTGAAAGGTACAAGCTTGTACCTTCCACCAACAGAAGTTGGTCCATAAAAGATATTACCTCACTTACTTTGTCTCTCTAATTATGGTGTCTTTTTAGAATCTGGGAATACTAGGAGTATGTGCATGTGTATTTTATCTCCTATTTCTGCGTATTAAAAAGTACATCAGTATAGAGATGGTGAGAACTGATGAAGACAGATACTTGGGACCATTGCCAGGGTTGCTGTGGGACTTGTATTACAGTGCACCCACCATCTGCTTGGTGCTCTTCAAAGCATCTACGAAGAGATAGTTCTTGTCCCAAAAAAACCATGTGGTCTGCTAGCACAAACCAGTGGTAATAACAAGTATAGTCCTCTTTGGGGAAAGAATTTGGATGATGTCACCAGGACACTGGGGTGTAAGATCAGGTCCCGCTCCAGTTCCTGCCTTGCTCCTCTCAGGGGGACAAGGACATTTTAAAGTCCACCCCTGCAACTTTCTGGTCCATGTGGCTGGGATTTTGGGTTTTCTATATGGTGAGTTTTTCAGTGTCGTTAAAAATCCTGGAAGTAGCTCCATCTAGTGACACAGCAATTCGTATGCAAGTTAACACAGGTGCCCTGCCCCAAAGAGATTCCAGCCTGAGGTGTCTTAGCAATGCCTTCCCCAGTTGGGAAGCTTATAGGAAACTGGCTGTCTGTGCTGACAAACTGAGCTCTGTATCTGCCACGCTGTAATGTTAAGTGTGTCTTTTGCCACCCCCATTCTCCCTTGCTCTGCTGGGCACTTTTCACAGATGGGAAGCTGTATGATGCGTATGTGTCTTATGCAAACTCCCCGGACGACAGGAAGTTTGTGAACTTCATTATGAAGCCGCAGCTGGAGAACCGTCACGGCTACAAGCTCTTCCTGGATGATAAGACCATTCTACCCAACTCAGGTATGGACCATCCCAGACGCTGCCAGGCCACAGGTTAGATGGGAGGCAAATGGACATACTCCCACTGCTGGGAAGTCAGCCTGGACCTTAGGTTAATGAACCTGCCCTTTAGGACCCAGGAAGCATCACCCGGCATAGCAGATCTGCTCTCTGGTATGCCACTTCCCTTTGCTCTCCCACACACCTTGCTGTCAAAGATTACAAACACAAACTGATTCAGAATGCTGTGATGTCAATAGCCGAGTGTTTTAGAGATGGGAAAAGAGAGGCACTGAAAGGTCAAGTGTTCCCTCCAACGTCATATAACAATTCCGTGAGAGAGTTGGGGATGGAACCCAGGAGTCCTGACACCTGGTCCCCTGCTATAATCACTGGGAAACACTTTCTTCAGATCCGGCAGTGTAACCTGAGTCTGGGAGAGGAGCACTTTACTCTCTAAGACAGGCTGGGTTATGAATTCAACTGTTTGAGAGACTGTGGACCTCTTTGTGAGGACACCCTGTTGCCCTCAGTTTGGGTTCGGATGCTAAGGCAGGCCATTCCTGGAGAGGAGGAGGAGGAATAGTGAAGTGCTGGTGGCCCATTCTGGCTCTGCTTAGTCTTTGCCGTGGCTGTGACTGTGAATCTCATTCCTATCCTACTCCTGTAGAGCCTTCAGCAGACCTGATTATGAACGTGAGCCGGTGCCGGCGCCTCATTGTGGTTCTCTCGTATGCATACCTGGAGCAAGATTGGTGCATCAACAACTTCAGGTAACTGGCTGGTCACTGAGCAGGGTTCTAGGCTGCTGCTTTGCTCTCCTAGTAGCACAGAGGTAGTTCTCACTAGATTGTCAGAATGACTGCATGGCAGACTGCACCCTTGTTCTTCTCCCCCCTCTGCAATCCAGTCATGTTACTCCTCCTCTTCCTCCTCCACGCTGCTGGGGTGCCCAGCAGTGGAGTCACTGAGAGCACAGGAGAGAGTCTCCCTGCTCTCAGTTCCTATGTCTGGTGCCACAGCAGCCTGTGGTGGCTGTGAGAGCAACTGCAAGTAAGTCCTTCTCGGTGACCTAGAGCATGCTCAGTACAGACAGAATCTTCAGAGTGTTTAGCAACCAAACTCTAACAAGTCTCTACTGAGCATGTGCAAACTGCAATTTTTCCCAGGCCAGGTTCGGGTGTATTTTCCTAGGAGCAGCAAAAGGCACATCCTGGGCACCATGGTGACCTCCTCCCAATCCCACCAAATTTCAAGTCTCTTGTTCGAAAGCAAGAGCTTCTGAATGAAACTATTGTAAGATATTCTTTTTTAAAGAAAGGTGAAAAAAAAATTCTTCCCTAATCTCGTTCTCTGAAATGGTTAAACTTTTTAGCTCAAACTTTCTAAAACATTTGCTAGACACGTGACATGAAAAATTCCAGTCCAAACTGTGAAAGTTTGCCAAAGTTATAAGCAAATTAATGCAATCTTATCATAGACAGTATTGGGCAATCTTAACAAAAGGCATCTCTTCCAGCTCCACCTATAATGTGGTTACAAGCCCTAAAAACCTTGCCTCTATTGTCCTTACTCCAGCTTCCAAAACAGTTAGCTTCCAAGCCAACGCTCACTGAAGTCAATGGGAGTCTTTCCATTGCTTTGCAGTTGGTCAGGGCAATGAAGAGATGGGTAAGCTGAACAGGCGTGATTCATTGCACTCCTAACTCCCTGAAATGGTTGCCTTGTATTGCAGGGACGGCCTGTTGAGGCTGTTGGAACTGTCCCAAAGACCCATCTTTGTCGCCTTTGAAAGCCAGTATCGGGAGATAGAGCATGTGGCCATTAACGTGCTGAAGCAGCACAAGAATGCTCTGACCTTACTGCTCTGGCGGGCCGGCTCAATGGTAAGCTGTGAATGGGGTGGGAGCGGACGGCTCTGGTCAGTGAGGTTTCTCACAGTACTGATGAAAGGCTCTGGGTACCACTCTCCTTGACAAAGCAGCATTCCAAACTTTACAAGAAGCACTGACAATCAAACGTGGTTCTCTGTGGTGGAGGGCCTGAGACATTCCCTCTGCTCACTGACCTCACAATGGTGTGTGCCAAGGCCACTCTGCTACTCCAGAGCTTGAAAAATAGAGCGAGATGGGCTGAGTGGGGTCTTCAGGATTTTCCCCGCTGAACTCTGCTGGGACACTTCACTGTCCCGCCCCATACATCCCTCCTCTTGGCATCTGCTATGGTTACTCGAGCCCTATGACTGGGAAGGCAAGCCAACTCCAATTAGTTGTCAGTTCCTGGCCACTAAGAGATGCTGCAGCCTCCCTTTCTGAAGGCAGGTAGCGCCACTTCAACCCTGCTGAGGTAACAGAGAAACCAGAGATTCTCCCAAACCCACACAGACTGTATCCTACTGCCAGGAGAGGTGCTGAACTGTCCGGCCAAGCCTATTGCTACTCAGGGCTAGTCTACGTTAGAAGCGCTACAGCATCGCAGCTGCGCCGATGCAGCACATCTGGAGACGATGCTCTACGTCGATGGGCGAGAGCTCTCCTGTCGGTAGACTAAAACCACCTCCATGAGAGGCGGTAGCTCTGTTGACAGAAGAAGCTCTCCCGACGACATAGCATTGTCCACGCCAGTGTAACTTACGTCCTTCAACAGGGTGGCTATTCATACCCTGGGCGATCTAAGTTATACCAGCTCAAGTGGGAGTGTGTACAAGCCCTTAGGCAGCCTTGCTGGACGTGTCCTGCAATACCAGAATTAGAGCGCCATGGCCTTTGAACCTCTTGGCTGCTGCCCTGGGCTCCCTGCACTGCAGCTCTCCTTGAGAAGCCCTCTGGCCACTGACACATTACCCACATTAATTGCTGGCTGGGGTTTCTCACAAAGAACAGTAAATCCTGTAAGCCACGTAATCCTCCCTTGCCCGGAAGCTCAGAGGCAAAGAAGCATGGAGTTTCGTAGAAGTGCTGTAGCTCCAGGTAGTGACCCAGATGGCCACGTGGTGGCACCATAACCTGAGAGATGGCAATGGGCAGTAGGTTAAGAGATGTCTCCACATGCTACAATGCTGGGGAAGGATCATCATCTCCAAACAGACACGGAGGCTACGGGACAGATTTTCAGAAGCGCTTAGCTCCCATTGAGAACAACGAGAGCTGCTGGGTGCTGAGGACTTTTGAAACTCGGGCTGTAAATGACTTGCCCAGAGACACACATCAAATCAGTGGCAGAGCTGGAACAGAGCCCCAGTCTCCTGTCTGCGTGCAGGAATGACCACACTTACCCAGGCTGCCTTTGCGGATGTGGTAATGGGATGGAGAAGTTAGATACACAATTGTGCAGGAGATTGGATGTCTAACAGTGTAAAGAGTGAGGCCCACAGTGACAGTAGAGCATTTTTAAACCACTCCCTACAATTAATAACGTTTCCTCTTCAGTCATGTTATCGAAAGCTACATTCCCAGCGGTGCTCCTCTTCAGAGATCAGCATGGACTCCCCTGGTGCCACTCACTTGGCTGTAGACTCCTCTCCAGTTCTCGGAGAGAGGTTGGGTGTACGCTGTTAGCGTTTGGGCTCTCTCATTAGACTAGCCATGTTCCCCTGTGTACCTGACACAGGATGACTCAGGATGGAGCCAACCATTTCAACCCTTTGGCTCATTGTGTTCATGGGAACACACTGCCTTTCTCACATGGCTTTGACATGTGCATCCAAAGCCAAGTTTAATCTTTGGCTTTCACTACCAAGAGCATTTTAGGGCTGGCTTGTCCCTGGCCCTTGCGCGCCCCACTTATGGGACAGGAACAGCTAATCCCCACATTTGGGGAAAATGCTGGAACTACTTTCTCTGCACTACTGGGGGCACAGCTTGAAGGTGTGGGGGCAAAGAGCGGTAGCACCATGTCCTCACCTACCTCTCCTACTTCCCCACTATGCATGCTCCCTGGAGCTCTGGGTGGATTTTGGCTCTAATTTCAGACCAGAAGTGCTCAGTTCACAAGTCAAATGTGAATTCTAACAGCCAACCCCAAACTCATACTGGGCTCTTTCCCTCCCTGCACCATCACCAGCAATAGGGGCCCTGCAGGCCTAACTCTGCCTTCAGTGCAGCTGGTGTAACCCCCGTCTTCCTCTCCTCGGCTATGCCAGTGCAAGCCACGGAAGGCTAATGAGTTTGCACAGATGTAAGCAGGGAAGGCATCATGCAGAATCATTATTCCTGGTGACGATGCAGAAGAAGGAAAGACTCCACTGTCAAATCCCAGAACCCAGGATCTGGCAGTTACAAGAGCCAGGACCTTGGCTTTGAACTCAGCGACACACACAGGATCTGGAGCCCCGTTCTGTCCAAGGGAGACCTGCACTTTAACTCTCTCCAGAGCAGCGTGTTTGGGACTAGAAAGCTAGCTTGGAAAACTGGACAGAAGCTTTCTCTTGGGCCTAAAATGAAGTCCTGCTGCTTCCCACAGCTGTTTCTTTTTGAAACCCAAGCCTAGACCTGCAGCTTCTAGCCTCCATACAGTCTCAGCAGTTCTGCCAGGATCTCCACCCAGGTTCTGCTAGTTTTTCCTGATCCCAGCTTGGCGAGAGGCCATCTTCTGAATACAGCCTTTGCCAGAGCTCTGTTGCTGGGGCTTCAGACATGTGCAGGGACACGCCCTTGCTGGCACTAGGGAGCTGTACTGCTGGAGCAGCCCTGCCAGAGTGAAGGAGCACTGAACAAATGCAAGGCCCCCTCCAGCTTCAAGAAGAAAGCATTGCACACGCCAGACGGCCAGTGTCCGAGACGGCAGGCCCCATCCACACTTGCCCCTGACTGAAGGGGTTTGGAAGCTTCTTGGAGCTGGATTGGTCAGATCTCAGGCACTTCTGTACAGCATTTACTCCTCCAGAATTGATCCTGGCACTGCGGATAAGGTAGCACCGAATCCTTCTTGGTTCCGATAATGTGCAATTCCCAGTGAAGAGACAGGATTACACTGTTCCCCTGCTCTCTGTGGGACCCAGGAGTGTGGGGAATGCCCAGAAAGGGCAGAAGTTTGTGGGAGGAAGATGCTCTGGTGGATAGAACAGAGGACATCTAGTCAGGGGACCTGGGTTCTATTCCCTGCTCTCAGTTGCACCGCTGACCTGCTGGGTACCTTCTCTGGGGAAGGGACTTCCCCTCTGTGCCTCATTTCCCCTTCCACCCTTTGGCTGCCTTGTGTGTCTAGACTATGCTTGGTGGGGTAAGGACTGTCCCTTCCTGCAGCCACAGACAGGGCTAACACAATGGGGTCTTGGGCGCGGCTGGGGCCTCTAGGCTTGACAGAATACAAATTTTAAAAAAGTTCCATTTTCCTCTGATTTTTTGGCTGAGTTTCCAGCTCCCTCTGCCCAAAAAGGAGTTCTGTCTCCATAAACTTTTCAGGAGCCAGACCTGCTGCATGTGTCACAGCTCATATGCCCCAAGAATGTGCTCAGCAAGTAGGTGTTGAAACTTGTCCAGAGACGTGTCAGGGGTTGCGGGGCTTTGCACTCGGCGAAGGATATGGCTCGAACAGAGCTTGGAGGGGAATGCAACCAGGGTTCTCCCTCTTCCTTACAGACCCCGTCGTCAGATTTCTGGAAGGAGTTGTGCCTGGCTCTGCCACGGAAGGTGTCCTACCAGGGGATCATGGCGGACCCTCAGATCCAGCTCGAGGAGGACAAGGACCCCATGCTGATTCTCCACAGCAGCTACTTGGAGTACCGAGGAGACCCACATCCTGAGGGAGACCTGGGTACCGTAACCATCTGTCTGTGTTCTTATATGGCTCCCATTGCCATAGTTTCTGAGCCCCATTCTATAAAGGGGGTGTCACAATACACTGGCTGGGCTGCAGCCACTTATTCCATGAACACCTAGTGTCTAGGAACCTGCACCCATAGGGCCAGACTTCCCTGGGGTATGTGCCCCTCCCGCTGGTATTCCGCACATGGAGCTGGGCTCAAGTAGGAGCAAAGTTCACCCCTCAGAGCACCATTTCCAACCTCACGTCTGAGGTTACAGCCAGGATTAGTGGACTGAGCAATGACAAAGGGCCATTGATAGCCATCTCAACAGTTCCTCCTTCCCCATCTCTCTGCATCTGCCTGCTGGAGCCTTGCACTCTGACCTGCCCCCCATAGAGGTGGCTGTGAGTTTCCTTCCCAGTCCCCCAGGACTGTCCTTGCCATTGACTTTGGATTGGGTTTGATGTGCTTAAATCCTGATCGGCTACCCGTTTCTAACACAAGATATTCATGCCTGGGACTAACTAAATCACCCTGGACGGCCACCAACCCCAGCTCCTCCCCTTTACCCCCAACATGCACACGGGCCACCTACTCTTCCCTTTCGGCCTCTTGGGGAGAGCCCCGCAGTTTACTAGGGCTCTGAGAAGCGCAGAGGAATTGGAGGCCCCATCCCTTTCCCTGTGCAGGCTGAAGCAGTCTAATACCCTCCAAGTCACCACGTCAAAGAGAGCACGGGCTAAAGAGAAGGGAAAGGTTGTACCAGTGGCTATTCGCTTCCTTCCCAGGCCGAAAAGAGAGTGAGGCTTGCTGGGCCTTGTCTCTTCCCAAGCCTCTGGAAGAGCTGCTGCTGGCTGGAGTAGTGGGAGGGAGGTATGCTTACCGGTATCTGCCCCAAAGGTCTTGGAGAGGCAGTCCAGGGTTTGTTAACACATGCTGAGTTGCCAGGAAATATATTTTAATTTTAGTCACAGGATTCAAGTAAGTCCTGTGCTTATAAAAGATTTACAAGCAGCTGGCATCGCAGAGCTCAGCTTGTTTGCGCCCAGTGATTGTCTTGTTAGGAGGAGAGTGGAGAAATGATGGGCTTGGCACAGCTGGCTGGAGTTCAGACAGGAGCACTGCGGTTATTCTGCCAGGTGCTCTTTGCCGCCTGACAGCAAGTTGTCAGGCCTCAGGCACCCAAGTGTCAGGAACAGGAGTTACTGGTTGTGTGCTGCATCCCCACACAAGGCATGGCAAAGCTCCCCTTCTTCGGCTAGTGCAGCAGTGTGCTAGGATCCTGGGGCAGCCTTGTTCTCTAGCTTTGCAGGGCACTGGCAAGGAGATTGGGAAGACTGTGACGGGAAGATGTGGCAACAGCTCTTCACTAGGAGGAACAGTTAGTTCCTGGGTTTTTTAACTTCCTGTTCTTCCGCTGTTGGCTGGTATGGATTGACCCTAGAATTGCTGTTCTGTGGTAGGAAAGCCCTGTAGTCTCTATCAAAATCCCCGTTCCACCCTCAAAGCAAGCCAGAACTCCTGGGATTCCCACAGAGTAGGAGTGGCTGGGGGTCCTGTTCCCCATCCCCCACCGATCTGTACTCTCTCTCCATCCCAGCAGGTGTCCGTGGGTCCATTTTAAGGGGCCCTCCGCCCCCTCGAATGACTGGCCCTGATGGACCACCAGCATTAGCAGCTGGCATCATGGAAGAAGTGCAGCTGGAAGAGGGCCAGAGGAGTGAAATAGACATCTCTGACCTCGGCTCACGCAACTACGGAGCAAGGACAGACTTCTACTGCCTCGTGACAGAAGACGACCTCTGAGAGGGAGAGCAGAGACGGTGGGATTATTGCTCCCATGGGACTGGCCATCTTGGTGTCCCTTTAGCAGGAAATGCTGCTCAGCTAGTTTCTTTAACCCAGAGGCCTGGTCAGCACTCCCATTCTGGGGTGTTCTCTATGGGGCAGTCAAGGCAGGGGAAAGGGCTGACTTTCTACCCACTCACTGAAGCCTTACAGTCCCATCTAAATGCTGGGGATCTTAGTTTTTGCACCTGTTCAGGACCAAGAGAAATTGTTAGGAACGAAGAATTCAGCCTGGAATGGGCTGAAAGAGACTGGGGGGGGGGGGGGCGGCGAGGGAAAAGCCCAGGGAAAACTGGTGCGCTGAGGTGGGCCATGGCATTGCAGATGGTGAGGGCTGTCTCTGTGATCGCTAGAACCATGAGGGGGGCATTGCAGTAACAGATGCCAAGGAGGGGCTGGATTTTGTTGTGGCCATTGGGTACCGAGATACTGCGTCATGTGGTACCTGGCAAGCACGGAGTTCCTGGCTGTCCCACGGCACGGGGTCTAGTGGTGACTGGGTTGGGGGGGACACCACCAGCAGGGCTAAGGATGGGGTCACCTAGAAAGGGGACTGGGATTTGTAGTGAGAAATGTAGAGCCATAGGACAGCGTAGCACTGTTGCAGCAAATGCACATGGAGGCCTCAGCCAGCAGCTGGAGCTAGTGTGTGGATAAGAGGCCAGACAGCGCAAAGGTCTGATGGGAGTTGGGGGGACCTAACTCAGCCTCAGGACTGAAGGACAGAGACAGCCAGGGGCGTTAAAGCAGCTTGAGGGCAGACACCAGAAAAACCCAGGGGACTGAAAGCAGAGGCTGATCCTCCCCTGCTGCATGGTTGGTTACTCAGGGATTCTTGTACCACCAGCACTTCAGCAGGGGCCATTTCCTGTGAAGGAGCAAGAGCAGGGACGTGTCGCTCTCTCCAGGAAGTGCCCTGTAACGGCATCGCTCACCGGCAGGCTTTACAGCGCTGCTCCTTAGGGACCGACAGGTCGGCTTTGGAAAGGGTTTCCTTGATTCACAGAGCCGCTTTGCTCTTTCTTCTTTTTGAAATACAATTAAAATAACTGCTGTTTTAAGCTACTCTTGGCCTTTTCCCTCCACCAGCAGTTTTAGGAGAGGATGGAAGTTGTGAGCTCTTTGTGTAAGGAGGGCTGGGATCTCACGTTCTTCCCTCTTTGGGCAGTGACATGCAGCCCCAGGGAGAGCTACTCCTAGGCCAAGGGCTTGTAGTAGCAGGAAACGGGGCAGAGCCTAGTGGAGACTCAGGACTGGAATAGCAGGGGGGCTGCAGGTCAGGACTGAGGTGTGTTGGCAAAGGCCTCTGACCTTGATTGCAAACTGCACAGCCCCGCTCCCCTCCCACGGGGGAACACTAGTATTTACCACAGCCCTGGCCCCAGACAGTACTTCTCCCTGGGTACCTGTTCTGAGACACGGAAGTGAGCAAGGGGCCAGTGTGGGGCACAGAGACAGCACAGACAGTGGGGACAAGCAGGAGACGCCCCCCCCCCTCCCCCCATTCATTTTCAGTTAGGACGTTAGCATTCACGAGCACTGACCCTAGCTACGGTCCTATGGTCCCACACTGCCCCCTGTGTTCTGACAATGGCTGCTGCCACTGTCAAATCGGGTTAGAGACGGGTCAAGCCAGCCAAGAGATGGGGGGGCGGGCCTGGCCCCAGCTTCCAGAGGATTCTAGATCCTCAGAACTGCTCACTCCAGCTCCATCCTCCAAAGGGAAAGTTACAGCATAGACTTAAGACAAAGCAAAAAGCTGACCACTTCTGTGCTCTGCCTGGGGAGCGCGCAGAGCACTATCCATGGGCTCGTTAATCGTCGGCCTGGCTGGAAGGTGAATGGGGCTCGTTCAGGGAGTCTTTGCATGAGATTCGTCCTCCTGCTGATTCACTGCTCCACAAGGGCTCGCAGTTGAATTTGCAAGTAGCAGCCACCAGCACGGCTAGGCCCTGGGGCTGCCTGCGAGAGTGAGCTGTGGCTATGCAGAGGTCGTGACTCACAGTCCATGCGGTGCCTTTCCTGCTGGGCCAGCAGGGCTTCCTCAGCCCCCGAAATGCAGCTGAGAGGCTGGAGCCCAGCAGTGCCAGGCAGCAGCCCAGCAGCTGGGGACACCATTGCCCGTGGAGATTTTGTGCAGACAGAATATGATGCAAAGCCAGTCTGGGCTTGGGGCTAACACCCCTGCTCTTGCAAAACACCAGGGCACCTTTTGTTATCACAGGATCCAAGTGTTAAGCAAAAGTCAGCAGCAGCATCCCCAGTGCCAGGCTAGGGCATTGGCTCTGCATTCACTCGGGAGGAGCGTCAGCAACTGCCGCCCCAGTGCTCCCCAGCTTTCCCTAAGTCGTGACCAGCCCAGCCCTGCTCAGCCTGTGCAAGCCAAGCAGCTCGCAGCCCCAGTGGTCTGACTCCAGCACTGCTGCAGGGTACTTGCCCTCGTTACAAAGCCCATCTTAAAAGCAATTAACTTTAGTATCAGGAAACTTTTTAGTCAACTGGGCAGTAAGGAGGGTTTGGTTGCCAGGGCTCCCCTGGGGGTTATTTGATCTGAGCCATGCCTAGCAGGGAAGGGACCGTCAGGAGAACAGCAGAGGCTGTGGCTAGGAGGTGCTGCACTCAGGCTACAGCTGGTCTTTTGCTGCTGGCTCCTGCCCATGGGTAGCAGGCTGGGTTAGAAAGCAGAGGGAGCGTTAACCTGACAGCCCTTCCCCCTCTTCCTTCTCGGAAACACCCCAGAAAGACCTCCGAGCCACTCACTGGTCAAGGCCTTTATTTAGGGAACACAACGAACTCCACTCCTGGCTGGGGAAGACAAATGCACCGAGAGAGATACCAGCCTCACCCGGGAACCCCGCTTGGCCTCAGCCACGGGCTTGGAGGCCAGACTCTGCTACCTGCTACGCTGGGGTCAAACCAGAGTCACTCCCCAGCAGCAGTGCCCTGGTGTCACCGGGAGTAGCATCTGGCCTCAAGTTTCTGTCCCAGGCACTAAACTGTCTCCTCTGATGCAGTTTGCTCCTGTTGCTGAAGCTACCTCTCTTATCAGAATTACCCAGACTCCCCCAATCCATTCTGCTGCTCCCCCCGCCCCTCGACTCTGCTTATCTATTGACTTGTTTCTATAGGGAAACCCCAGAGAGGCAGCACTTATCCAGCGTCTCATGGCCACCGGTCAGAGCCTCATGCCCTCCGAAGGGAGAACCAAACTGCTACAACAGTGAGCGGATCCCAGCCTGGGCCCCCTCTAACAAAGGCGAGGTCGAGGTGGGGAGAGAGAGTAGGGGGTCAGAGCAGGACTGGTCCCTTCTATAATCTCCAGTGTTTTCTCCAGTTGTATTTTAAATGGCTCAGGCAGCGGGGTGGCCAGCCCGTCCCTTCTTCCCTGGAGAGACCCCTCGCTAGGAGATACTGCCCGGATGTTCAGCCGGTCTTCCACGCCAGCAGCTCCCTCTAGCCAATGCCTCTCCCTGGTGTTTGTCAGGAAATACACTTCACCTGCCCCACTGCAAGCCCCCTCACTCAGCCTAGGGTTGGGTAGCCACATGGACGCATGAGTAGCAGTGGGGATCTGAAGAAGAGCTCCGAATGCTCCCTGGGAATCCTTCCCCACCCCGCAGGCCAGGGGAGCAAGGGGCAGCTGCCCACCCACCAGGATGGGGACACATGTTTAATTCAGGCAAATAAAGCTTCCAGAGTGACCCAAAGGGCTCAGCTCTGCCTGCTGTCACACAGCTATAGCTGCACCCTGTGTGACCAAGGGCAGGACTGAGCCCCAAGGATTTTAAAATGGCAGAGGGAAAAAACCCACCCAGCTCTACGTTACAGCGGTGCCAGGGAGCTTCCTATCTACAGCATATACAGGTACAATGGGCATGCGGCTGGAGCAAGGCAGCGCTCGGCCCCGTAGCTACCGCAGGACTGAACACAGCGACAAGACCAGTCAGTGCCTCCCGATTTGTGTCAGAGGCCAGGCCAGAGGGGAGCAGCTGAATCATCTCAGGGGGGCTACCCAGAGCACTGGGTCTGATGCCAGGCACCCCTTCTGCGGCAGCCATGAGCCCCTGGGCTACTGTGGGAGACAAGGCACAGGAAGCGGGAGGGACTCCTCCAAAGAGCCAGCCCCTGCAGTTCAAGGGCAGGCCTGCTGGCTAACCCTGTGTAGGACATAGCAGCTCAAGGTGTGAATGCTGCTCATGTTACAGCTACCCCAAGGGCCTTTTGGCGCTGTGCCTCTGATCAGTACTTGCTTCCAAAGCCGTGAGCAGCTCCCAGTCAGGCCCCGAACCAGCATCATTCCCATCCCACAGGGCAGGTGTGGGAGCCAGGAGGGCTGTTTAAAGCTCCAGTAAGGTACCAAACGTAGTGCACAGGTCAAGCCAGGAGTTTAATCATGATCTTGTAACTCAGTTTTCATCCCAAAGTGCTTCAGACTGTACAGCTAATACAGAAACTACCTCCCCAGCCAGTGACATGCCCCTCTGCGGGGACACAGCAGCTGGGCTATGCCAGCAATGCCCCAGCTTTTAGAAAGCCAAACGAAGCTGAAGCTGGGCAGAATTTTATTATCCGATTTGGAATACGGGAAGGACACCCGCTGGGGGCACTCCTGCAGCAGGGTCTTCAATGAGCAAGAAAGTCCAGCCCTTCACCATACAGGTGTGGCCAGTTTTCCATGCAAGCGCAAGCATTTTAGGGCAACGCACTGCAGCTGCGAGGATAATCGGTCCCAGACAGCTCAGACTGAGTCCCTTTAGCCACGGCAGGGCCTTTTCTATGACATCAGGGAGAAAGGGCACAAGCGCTCAGACACGGAAGTTTCCCCAGAGTGTTTGGTTTGGTCCTGCAGCAACCACTTTCCCCAATAGGCAGCACTACCCCACCCGACAACACAGCCTGCCTCTGATGCATCCAGCAAAGGGAACGCGGAGCACAAAACCCAGCCTGTGTGGAGGGCCTTGGCCCGCCAGCCCACCACACACTGTCTCTTCAGTCGGATTTTAATACACCACACGCAAACGACCCTTTAGCAACTCAGTTAATGAGACCAGGTCTCTCCGAGAGCTGTGGCCCTGCAAAAGGCACACGTGCTGGGGCGTGACAAGGCCAGGGTCAGGGTCAGCACATACCAGGCATTCCCGCTTGTGAGCAGAGCACACGCTTACCTGCACAGGGAGTGGAAGAAGTGTCGCTGCGCTGAGAACGACCGCTCCCGCCCCCAGAAGCGGCTTTAGGGAGGGGGCTGCCCTCTGATTGGCATAGGGCCGGCCAGCTCACCCTCTGACAGGCACCAGAGGGGAAGCGTCGCTGGGATGAGGGTCTGGCTGCAGTTGGGCCCCTGGTGTGAAGGGAAACTAGCGCTAAAGAAGTCAGGTGAATAACGCTCCTGGGTAGCTCTGAAAGCTCGGACCTGTGTTTGTTTTGCCATATTCTGTTCAACCCAGGTCCACAAGCCCACAACATAACCATGCCCCGCCCCCCCCGCTTCCTAATACATTGTGAGCAGGATACAAGCCCCAGAAACCCATCACAACTAAACAAGTATGGCCCCACTAGCCCCAGGAAGCCAGGGGCTCCTGACACCATTGTCTCACTGTGTAAACACCTTCCCCTTTAAATCCCACAGACCCCAGGACAGAGCTGAGATCCTCCTTAATTTAAAAAATACAAGTCCATGGGGAGGTGGGTGTGCGCGGGGAATAATAATCATAGAGACATACTGCGTTAGGAGTAATCCAGAGGTCCAAGAAGACCTTGCAAAGCTCCCTTCGTGTCCTTACAGGTGCTGGCAGGACTCCTGTGCCATAGAATCCTAGAATCTCGGGGTTGGAAGGGACCTCAGGAGGCCATCTAGTCCAACCCCCTGCTCTAAGCAGGACCAATGGCCTGCCAAGCGGAGTCCTTTGTCTGCTCCTTGGGGCATACCCAGAGCAGTGCTGCTGGAGCGAAGGCTGCGCCGATGTCACCAGGGGAGGAGAGGCTCCCAATATGCTTGAAGAAGAAGCTGTAATGAATGCAAAAATGAGGCCGGCCAGCCAAGCTGCTACTGGTCTAGATGGAGGAGAATGGGAGCTGCAGCAAGGGGGGATTCCTGGGGCAGAGCCACAGTCTGTACTGCTGTGAGGACAATTTTCATCGGGAGAGCTAGGGCTGGTCAGTCCCGTCTCTGCCGCTCGGGGATGTTCGTCCTACAGAGCTAGGAAATCCTCCTTCCGGTAGCCCTTCTGCAAGACACAAACAGAGCGGTCCTAAGGAGAGAGATTTCTGCTGAGGAGCCCCAGCACCGCAGCCCAAGGGGGCAAGTCACACATGCAGGCCTGTGTTCTCTAAAGTGAGTGAGACCCACCCTCTGAAAGTCAGGCCCCTGTGAAGGGGTCTCAGGTTGGGCCTCCCAAATCACTCATCACTTAAAAATATGGGCCATAGAAAACCTCTCTCCTTCCTGGGCCCCCTGGGGTCGTGCAGCCCGTAAGCGGATCACACCAAGGTAGGGATGTAACCAGACTGAGAACCGATAGGACATGTTGTCCCCTTCCTTGGTCCCCCCAAGGCCATTTTTCCCTGGTGGGGGTTGAACGGCCATCGCCAACAGCTCATTAGACTGTCCTCTCATTTCTGAGCAGAGCTAAAAAAGCCAAGGAAATCAAAGACGAGAGAGGACACCGCTGTAGTGAAGCCAGGACCAGGAGTGGTGAGGCAGTGAGGGACAGTCTGAGAAGAATGAGGACCCTGCATATTTCCCATTAACAGGCTGCTTCCGAATTTCCTAGGCATCCCCCTCAGCCAACTGGTGCGTCAATCCCTGGGGCACCCAAACTCTGCCTAACCCAGGGCTGCATCAGCATCTCCCCAGGATCCCAAGGGCACCTCTAGTTTGCATAAAACGGAGCAGATGGCCTCACCTTGAGTACCAAGGAGTCTCCTGCAAGAGGTGACAGGCCCCAGCCCACCAAGCTTCATCTTAGCACCTCAGATCAAGATGGAGCAGGCGATGAGGGGACCCATAGTTTCCATGGGCTGCAGTGGGAGCTGTGGCTCACAGTTGAACCTCACTTAGGTGACCTGGAGCTCCCTCCGCTGTCCCTGTGCCATGTCCTGGGGAACACCCCCTCCAGAGTCTCAATCAGGAATTGGGGCAAGCAAGGAAGAGGCTACCCCCTGGGGAATTCACCCCAGGTTTCATGCTGAGCCCAGGAAGTTTAGGGAGTGCTGTGCTGAGGTCCTATCTGCTGACTGTGCTCACTGCTTGGATGGAAGAAGAAGCCCCCAGTCACCTGGGATGTCACTCCCTGAGCCAGCCCCAAAGCTCTCGGCAAGCCGAGGGTTAAAGAAATCCTTGTGGATGCTGGGTGTGTATGTCAGTCTCCCTCTGGCCACACCCTGACTCAGAAGGAGGCAGAGAACTGAAGACCAATGGTGGCCACAGCTCCCCACTGCCTTCCCAACGTCCTCCTGTCCCAGGGTGGGGTGGTCTTTTAAGGGGTGTGGGGGAGAATGGGGCTTAGCCCCCACCTGTCACTAACCAGCTGCCCCTCCCAGCCGGTGAGATAACAGGCCAACCAGCAGCTCACTCAAGGGGGAGAGCCATGGGAACGCTTCTGGAGGAGACCTTGCCATTCTGCTAGGGGCAAGGGTTGGCTGGGGAGCCTTGCTGGGTGGGCAGCAGCAGAAGCAGCCCTGCAGGGCCCAGGGCAGGCAGCAGGGCCTGGGTTTTCCGGTTGTGATTGAAGCTGAACTGTGTCTGCACAATGCAGCCCCGGGAAAAGCCAATGAAGTAGTGACCGTGGTGGGAGGTTCATTGATGCACTGGCTAGTGAGTTGGTCTCCCAGCTTACACTGGAGTGGGGAAACCACAGCCAGGTTTGGCGAGACCCTGTTACACCCCCCTCCAGGCTGACTGAACTCCCAGTTCTTAAAGTGATGGCCCTTGAACACCAGCCTCTTCCCGCCCACCTCCACCATCTGCTGGACCCCAGGCCATTCGTACGTGTGTCTTTCTGGGTGTGACTTATTCCCTGTAACGTGCCTGGGCTCTGGCTGCCTCTTCCTCACTGCTCAAACAAGACTGAAAGGAGGGTCCCCAGTCCACACAAGGCCTTGCCTCGACTAGGATTCAATGGGGTCATGTTAGCTAACACGTCTAGACAGAGCTCAGTGCCTTTAATGCACACAGAGCTGGTCAAGTTTGAGCTCCGACACAGCCAGCTTCAGATGGGTGAGCCTGCATCTTGACGGGGCTTTGCAGTTGGGTTAAGCTAACTTGACTGAGCTACCATGAACGAAGCATGCACGCACCCTGCCTGCCACCACAGAGCCTTAGCACAGTGAGTTACTAGGGCAGGTAGGAAAACAGAATTTCCCTTCGGCAGGAAAGCCCGACATTTGGAACAAAAACAAATTTCGAAACTGGAGTGAAAAGTCCACATTGTCCATGGAGCACAACTTCTGAAAAGTTTGGATTCAAAACCGGTGACATTTTTGACAGTGCTGAAACCATAGAAAACATGATATGTACTCTAAAGTGCATACAGATAATACGGAAATTCGAATATACATCAAAATGAAATGGAAACGATAAAGTCGAAGTGAAACACTGACTTTATCGAAACAAAGCCCTTTGACGCTTTCCCACCGAGCTCAGCACATGCCCATGGAATGTGCGGATTTTGACAAAACTGCATTTCCCCATGGAAAACGGTTGTGATGAAAAGTTTTTGACCAGCTCTCTTGGTTATCCTACGGCTGCTAATGCATGCTAACGACACACATCTTTTGTCCTAGTCTAGACAATGCCTTCAGGGAGAGTCCCACCATGTGCAAGCCAACCCGAAAGGCAGCATTGGCTCCACCCAACCAGAGGCTCAGCCGAGCTAGTGCTGAGCGCGCTGGCTCAGGGAGGAACGTACCATCTTGTAGTCCCGGTGCAGCTTGGTGTATTGCCACATGTTGGCCAGCAGGCTGGAAGCAGCTCTGGAGGACTTCTCGCTGTCCGAGCTAGGGCAAACACACAGAGGACACAATGACGCTACTTGTTCCTCTCCCGTTAGTGTCTGTCTGGCACAGGCCCAGGAAACACATGTGGGGATGGAGGGCGCTATGCGAGAGGCACTCTGAACAAAGGGTGAGGATTTGGCGGTGTGGGGAGAGCAAGAGAGAAGCCATGGAGTACACCAGGACCAGATGGTCACTGCTGCACTCAGGCCTGAGGGCCTCTCATCAAGACTGCCATGCTGGGTGTGGCTGGAGAAGTTACTGACACATCGGCCAGCCAAATCCTGGGAAGATGAAGCTGGGTGGCTACGAGTGTCCCATAAACATATTGGGGCGAGAGAATTATCCCCCAAGGTGCGCTCCCTTAGGGTAAGGACCTGGGATGATTCACAGGAGGAATTCCTGGTGAGAAGACCCTCTCAGTGGTCCTGGGACCGCTCTCGGAGAGTGTACTGGGTGCTCGGACCAGCCCAAGCCCTGAGGGGGGTGGGGGCTACAGACTGGCCAGGAAGTCCCCTGTCTCCCACCACACTGATCTGGAAATTCAGGCCAGAAGAGGCTCTCAGACGTTGACGTGAGCTGAGCTCCTGTGCCCAAGGAGCGGAGGGGCAGGGCTGACGGCTGGCTAACTGGGCTGGCAGGGAAGACACGCAGGCTCCCGTCAGCTCCTACCTGTCCCTTTTCTTCTTGATGTAGAAGAGCTTCCGGAGGCCGTCGAAGTAGACGATGTCGCGGGCGGCGATGGGGCTCTCCACCACCAGGTTGTTCAGCACAGCGATGATGTTCACGATGACGTCGGTCGGGGGCTCCTTGTCGCCGAGGCCCCCGGGGAGCTTCTCAATCAGGTGGCTCACCACCTTGGTCGCTGCCGAGGCAAACGGATCGGCGTCAAGGGCTGGCTCTACGGTCTGGAGCAAAGCACTGGGGACGGGGCCACCACAGCGTCACCCAGGCCATGCAGCAGCAGACCTGGCTGACGGGATAGCAACACGCGCAATGGGGAGAGAGGCCTAGTGGGGTGCAGCAAAGGCCAGGACTGCCTGGGTCTCACTGAATGGCCTAAAGCAGGGAATCAGCCACGCAACTCCCAGGCGGCACTAAACTGAAGGGAGGTGCAAAAGCGAGTGAGGACCGAGAGAGCCCTACAGAGCCACCTTTGGTATTTTAATAGCACAAAAGGTGCTTAGACGTGCGGGCAGAAAACAGGTAGGGATTCAGCCTGGGAAAGGCTGTTAAAACACCTGGGGCCTTGGAAATGCTGTGAGCGTCTGCGGGGTGGACGAGTGGCTTAGAGGGGAGTGTGCCGTGCGCTGTTTATTCGTTTGCAGTGTAGATTACTGCAATCTCTGGGCACCTAGCAAATGGCTGCCAGTGCCCAGCTGTATGCGCAGCGGGGTCGTGCCATCAGCCAAGGTAGGGACGGCCTGTCTGTGCAGAGCTCTGCTAGGGGTGTTTGGGCCCCTCTAGGCCCGGAAGGCATTGAGGTGCCCAGGGGAGTGAGAAAGCACTAACTAGGCCTGGCTGGCCCCAGGGACGACGGGCACAGGCAGTAAGAGGAGCAGGGAAGGTCTCTCAGAAGAGCGGCCTGTTGCTAGCGGCGGCTCCTGCCCCATCTAACCCCTGCTGCCATCGACGGCCGCTGTCAGCCCTGGGCTCTCCCTGCAGCCCCCGCCCCCAGCACTCACACATCTCGTCCTTGTTGCGCGCGTTGCGGGACAGATTGCGGATCAGCCCCGTCAGGGAGCGCAGCTGGTGGTGGTCAGCCGTGCGGACTCGGTCCAGCACGGGGTTCAGGATCCGCTCCTGCTCCAAAGCCACCCTGCTCAGCACGCCAGCCCACTGGGGATGGGGATAGAGAAAGGGAGAGTTACAGGGGTGTTGCACCCTGGGCTTTTCAATACCGACCCATCCCACCCTCACTACCCCCATCCCTTCCACCTCTAGCCCATGTATCCCCCCCATCCCCACCACCCCATGCATCCACCTGATCCCTGCCACGCCCACGCCACGCCCACATATCTCCCTCTCCCATATCTACCACCCCATCTCCCCACCCCATTCTCAGGGTGGGGGGCCCACTCCATCCCTCTGGCGCTGCCTTCCCTAGCCCCCTCACACCCATATTTCACCCTCCCCCACTGCCCTGGAGACAACTCTGCTGCAGTAGGGAGGGCTGGAGGCAAACTGCTCCCAGCCTGCCCTTGAATGCTGCCAGCTGCAAGGTAATGGTGGGCACAGGGGGGATGAGACCAGGGCACGTGGCATCACTTCCTGGAGGGCGGGTACAGAGGCTCAGCTCAGCCTGATCCCTCTGGGCCAGTCATCTCACCCTCAGCAGCTGGGCAGAGGTGACCAGAAGCCCTGGAGACCTACAGCTCGGCCAGCCTCCCTGCATTACCCCACCGCGGAGTCCAGCCTCCGAGGCGGATTCAGGCCGGGCCTCTCGGCAGTGGTGGCTCCAGTCTGTGCCAGGCTGGGGGAGGTGTGGCCCACCATGGCCAAGGGGTAGGACGCAGCCTGGGCGGGATGGGACTGGGCTGTCCCCAGGCCCAATCTCACCCTCCGGTCTCCGGCGGTGATGTTCTGCAGCGCCCCCGAGGCCGCCTCCGTGGTGTGTTTGTTCAGCTCGCACCGCTGCAGCAGCCGGTTGTAGATGCCCACGATCTGCGGGTTCCAGAGCCACTCCATCCCTTTGGGGTCCTTGGAGACCTCCGTGAAGGTCACCATGTCTGTGTTCATGTGGTGCTGGGGGGCCGAGGAGAGAGACCAGCCCGTCAACAGAGAAACACAGCCCGACGGGGGCCCTGCGCACATGGGGCAGCCCCGCTTCCCTCTCACCTCCGTCCCCAGCCCCATGGCCCCCCATCCCTACCACCCAGAAGCAACGCAGCTGCCCTAAAAGTGGAGGGGCCACCAGCACAGAACAATGGCCCTGCCTCCATGCCACCCCTTCCCCCGAGGCCCTGCCCCACCCCAGCCCCCACCTCGCACTGCTCATTCCCCCAAAGCCCTGCCCCCCATCTTCCCCTCAAAACCCCACCCCCAATCACTCCTCTCCGCCCTTCCCCCCCATCACTCACCCTCACGGCCACCAGTGGGAGAGCACCCACCCTTCCAGCTGCACTTTTAAAAGCGACGGGGCCATGGCCTCTTGGTCTCCCCCCATCCCTTTGACCCCCATTCTCTTCCCTATCACCCCTGCCCCCATGAGCACCCGGCTCTATCCCTTGATTTGTGACCCCCGTCTCTCAGCTGGCCACGCGGGCTCACCAGGGGAGCGTTCCAAAGCCAGGCACACAAGTATTCATGGAAACCCATTTTTAAATGTCCCCGCGGGTGGGACGGTGCGCACGCTCTCCGCCAATCACAGACTCGGAAGAGCACCAGGTGATCAGTCACCCACCCCCTGATCCACTGCCCACTGGAGGCTTCCGGCCTGGCGCCGGGTCGCTGAACCAATGATCCGCTCGCCCCTCGTTTCAGCGACCCAGCTCATCGCTCACTGGCCGTGTCCTATTCGAGTCCCCTCCTGTTCCCTGCCCCATTCTCACCTCTCGCACTCGCCTGCCCTGGGGGCTGAAGCAGCCCACCAGCTCCCCCGTCCCAGCGGTGCCGTCCCGCCGGTGCCCCTCCAGCCGCTGCAGCGAGGACGGGGGCATCTCATCGTACAGGCGGTAGGAGAGGTTCCGCAGCACGCACACGGCGTTCTCCACGCTCTGGGGACGGGGGAAGCGGGATCAGCCTGGGCCACTCACTCCAGCTGGCTCGCCTTTCAGAGCCCACGTGGGAGAGGCTCTGGCTGGACCGTCCCGCCCAGCACTACTTACTAGAGCCTGGGCCCAGCCAAAGGGGAGGCTGGGAACAGGGCCTCCCATCAGGGCTGGGCTAGTGCTCCCACAGTGCCAACGTGACCAACAAAGCCCACAGCCAGCCAGCCCATGTCTAATGTGCCCATCACCCTGGTATCGGGGTGCCAGTTCACTCTCCCGGCTCAGTGCCCTGGTTTGAGGGGCTCCCAGTGAACAGGGACACAGCCCTGCCCTGGGACGGTTCATGAAGGTGATCAATGATCAGATGCATGAGGCGATCAGTTTCCCATTCCCTTCTCCACCTTGCCGGGCTTGGGAAACTGTCCCCAAACCTCACACCCTTGGCGGCGGGGCCGAACCGTACCAGGAACTGTGGTCCCCGCAGTGCCCCGTTGTGGAGAGCTGGAGCACGGCTCAGTCTGTGCCTGAGAGGCGGACAGAGGCACGGACTTTACGAATGAAAACACTCCGCATTCGGGGACGAAGGGGTCCTGAGTGTCCCCCCAGCAGCCCTGGCCTCGCTCCCAGCATCCCAACCCCCACGTCCCTCCAGGCCCCCTGCCGCTGGGGCTCCTCCCGTCTGGGTCAGGAGGCCCTGACTCTGAGGGGAGGGTGGCTCAGACACAGGCTACACGCTGCTGGAGCCAGCCCACTGCCCTCCTCCTCCTGAAGAGGTGTGCAGGGGAGGGGGCCGTGGCCTGGGAGGGAGTTGGGGGCATTGCACATAGGCTGTACGGCCCCTCCATTGGGGCAGGAGTTTAGCTGGATGGCCCACGGCCAATCGGCTGGCAAAGGGCTCCGGGAGGCTGGCGACTGCTCACTAAAGGGCTCTGACAGCTGCAGCTCTAGGGGTTAGGCTGCCTGTGGGGACTACACCTGGTCCCCCCAGCCACTCGGCATGGAGCAGCCCCAGGGCACTCAGCCGGCCCAGCCTGCTCTCCACTATGGCAGAGCCATGGCAGGCTGCAGGCTGGCTGGGGGTGGAAACACCCCATTGTTCTCAAGCGGGGCTGGCCAGGCCGCACGGGGGAGGCTGGGGGCTGGCTGAGGTCAGGATTGGTGCCTGGGCTGTGCTGCCAGGGGCAGGGGAGATAAGCACTTTGGGGCAGGGCCTGGCAGACCTCAGGCATGTGGGGAGGGGCTAAGGAAGTTGGTACCGCGGTGAAGAGCTGCTCCAAGTCAGGAGGAAGCAGAGACAGTGAGAGAGCCACACCCCAGCCTAGGCTGTTCGCTCTAGGTGGTGAAGACGAGGGGCTGGGCCCCCAGCGCAGACAGGCAGCTGCAGACTCCCTCTGGGGGCGGGGGGCTCACCTTGTCCTCTGACTTCCCCACCTCCAGAGCGCTGTTGATGTAATTGATCATGGAGTCCACCAGCCCGTGGCATTCGCGCATCTTCTGCCGGGTCTGCTGGCTGGCGGAGCTGAGGTTCCTGCAGGGGGAACCCAGGGCCCAGCACTGAGAGACGGAATCTCCCCTGCCAACCCATGCCCCCAGCCTCTGCCGGGACCCCCTCCTCGGCCAGGCCAGAGCCAGTGCCCATCTAAGGGGGGGATTCCCTCTCCATCAGTAGCCAACGCTGGATGCTGCCGAGGGCAGTGTGAACCCCCCTGTAACGTCCCTCCGTGTGGAATACTAACTCTGGGCTGGGCATTGCTGCCTGTCCAGTTCGGGCCCTGCAGCGTGAGGACTGGGGATACAGTGTCCCGCCCAGGGGGCATGCAGGCCTTGTTCATAACACTGGGGGCCAGAACCAATACCAGAACCTAGAAAGTCTCCACTACTCTCGGCCCAGAGCTCCCCCGGCCCCCGTGGCTCAGCGGCCAGGGCGCAGGGCACGCTCTCTATACCCAGGGGCTGGTAGAGCTGGTACCTGAGGAGGCCGGTGGAGTTGTAGAAGATCTCTGCTTCTGAGGCGTTCTGCTGGATGATGGCAGCGCTGCCCGTGCCGGAGAGCGGGGTCAGGATCAGGTCGGTGAGATGCTCCAGGGTGTCCCGAGCCAGCCGGTCCTTTAGGGTGTCGCTGGAGGAGAGATTCCACAGGATCCCTGCAGGCCACAGAGAGCAGCACTTAGCCCCAGAGAGCATCCAAACGGGTTAAACTCCTGGGCCATTTGTACCGGGGTTCACGTGCCCCTTCCTCTGACAAGCCTGCTGGGCTAGCTGCCCCTTCCCAGCTGCCACTTGAGCGTCCCATAGTGCGGGGGCTGCCACCCTTGGCTTGCAAGGGGGCTCCAGCAGCAAGTGACCTTTGCCTCCCCCTCACCTCTATGCCTGAATCCAGCAGGCGGCCTCTGATCTGCAGCCAGGGGAGGAGGCAGGGCTCAGAGGACTCTTCCCATCCCACGGGAAGCTCAGAAACCCCGATGCAGTGACTTGACTCCCAGAATGGCAGGCACGCTGCACAATCCACCGAGTTTTGCTGGCTTCATTCATGGCCCTGCTCTATGTGGATGGGCAGCCTCTCGGGGTGGGGTCTAATTACCTGGGGCTGTTAGTCATCAACCAGCTGCACACAGGCAGCCAGGGAAGGGGACCCGCTGCCCCCCAGTTCTGATGAGCCCAAGGAGCGGCACTGACAGACATAACTAGCAGGGGGAGTTGGGAGTTGGGTTCAAGTCCTGCCTCTACCACAGACTCTGTCTGTGCCCCAGGGTGAGTCACTCGGTGTGTCTGAGCCCCATCTGGAAAATGGGGTCAACGCCTCCGAGGGTTGTTGTGAGACTAACTCTGACTGTGAGGCACTCAGCTACTCAGCCACAGAGAGACTCCCTGCTGCCGAGCTTCTGCCCACGCTGCATCTGGTGTTTTAGCAACAATGGCCGAGATTCCCTCGCTGGTGTGAATTCACTGTAGTGGGGCTTTGATGATTTATGCCAGCTGAGGACCCAGCGCCGTGGGGGGACAGCTCTGATCTCCCCAGGAGGCAACGGGACCTAACAAAGAGGCGCTTACCTGCGAGGCACTCCCTGTGTGCAGGGCAAGCCAGCCTGGGGCTGAGCTATCTGGCCATGGCTCTCTCCATGCTCCAGCTGCATTTAGCTAAAACCACTTTCACAGACTCCATTACACTTGTAATAGGCATTAAACCCTTCGCATCATCGCTCCTGGGCCCGGCTTTCCCATTAGCTCTGGTATAGGCTGAGACAATCAGAGCCTGGCGGGCAGGATTAGAAAGGGCCTTTGTAACAGAGGCAAATGTAATCTCTGCTCTTGGCCCCTCCCTGCACAGCGCTGCCTGCAAGACACAAAGGCAGGTGGAATCTGGCCCCTGGCCAGGGCCCAATCTCCCCCTCCACCATTCATCTCACTCCCTCTCTGCTCTCTCCAGCAGCAGCAGCCAGCCTGGGCAAGAGAAGCCTGTATCCCTCCCCCATCTCTATATCTGCTTCAGCTCCCCTCTCTTATCAGCACGCTCCCCGCTGGGGTGTAGCCCAGCCTGGTTACATAAAAGGGACAGCATCCCTTCCCATTCCAGGGTGGCCTGATCGCTGGCTGGTCTCTCCTCCCACCGGCAGGGCAGGACAGTCTGAGCTACCAATCCACCGCAGGTTCCCTTGCCTGAGCCCCGCCTGGCCCCACAGTGATAAGATCCAGAGCTGGCTGGCTGTACAGTAACCCAGGCTGCCAGCAGGGTTCGTGCCTGCTCTCCCTGGCACGCCCATGGGCCCTGACAGTATGGTGTAGAACCAACCGTGCGGTGATACTAACCCCGGAGGAGTGAAGTTCAGCACAAGGCTGGCTGGGGGGACTGGGCTCCTGCGCTGCCAGAGGCATCTCTCCAGCTGTGGCCCCCCTACCATCGCTCCCTGGCCTGTGGCAGAACTGGGCCACGTAACCCCTGGGCCTCAGCACACTCCGGTCAAGGAACCTTTGCCCCATCAGCATGTAAAGACATGCTGAGGCCACCAGCGGGGCGGGGCACAACCATAGCTTGGCCTGGTACTTTCTAACAAGGGGGCTTGTACGGCTCCATCACCCATTTAATGTATTTATCCTCACAACACTCCTGCAATATAGGGCTGTGCTATTAACCCCAATTTGGGGGTGGGGACCTGAGGCAAAGAGACTATGGGCTAGAGTCACAAAGGTCCTTAGGGGGCCTAGCTCCCACTGAAATATCTAAATACCTTTAAGGATCTGAATTGCCCAGGGTCACCCAGGAAGTCTAAGGCACAGCAGGGAATTGAACCCAGCTCTCCTGAGTGCTAAGCCAGGGCTCTAACCACTAGGCCATCCCTTGCACTCCAACAGACACTCTTAATGCTCACTATTCAGGATTGCGCTTGTCGGGCCTCAGAGGCTGAGGAGCCATTCCCTCTCCTGCCATTGCTGCTGGGCAATAGGGTTTAACGGCATCTTATCTGAACCCTAAAGTAGAACTAGGCAAACAGTTCCAATGTATCTGTTTCCCGTCTTTCATCAAAGTCAGAAATTTTGTCCCAAAACATTTTTTTTCATTGAAATGTCAACATTTGAAAAACATCAACTAGCCCAACTCAAACGCCTTCCTCTCCCAGTATCTATCCAGTCTAGTGCCACCTGATAGAGACCTGGTGTAACTACAACAGGAGCCAAAGGGGTGAAGAATGAGGTGGAAGACGAAGAAAGAGCTATTTTGGCCATTTTTGGCTGATCCCAAAAGAATGCGCTGCCACCTGTACAACTGCCTGGGAACATCCACTGTGGCGAAGGGGCTGTCAGGACTCTCAGGACAACCCCCTGTTTTAGATGCTCCCAACTTTCTGGTAACTTCTTGATGAGCTGAAAGTTTCCAGGCTTGGCTCCACCCAAAGAGGGATTTTTTTTTAAAGCTGGAGTGAGATCTTGTTAGCCTTTGCTAAGACGTGGAGGTTCCCTGTCATTAGTCTGAGCAAAGCTTTCTGATGGTTTTTGTGCTTGCACGTAAGTTCGCCAGCCGGCTGCTCCTCACTGAGGACTAGGGCCCTGTGCTGGCTGCAAAAGCAGCATGTGCATAGAAGGTGGGAACGCAAGGAGGTGGGGTTGAACAGGATTCTGGGGAGCCAGCAGTGGGATCTGGGGAAGAAGGGGGCTGTGATTTTGCACTGGAGGGATAACAGGGATGCAGTCTAGAAGATCTGGAGCTGGATTTAGACTCAGGAGACCTGGGTCCTATTCCCAACTCTGCCACTGGCCGGTTGGGTGATCTTGGGCAGGTGACTGCATCGTCTTGTGCCTCAGTTTCCCCTTCCACCCTTTGTCCATTTAGACTGTAGTCTCATTGGGACTATGTGTGTGTACAGCACCTGGCACAATGGGGCCCAGATCTCAGCTGGGGTCTATAGGTGCTTCTGCAATACAAGCAATTTAGCAGTAACCCCAACAGACCCGCTTCCCTTTCCCTGCTCAGCCCGGTGCTCCCTCCCACGCACTGACCCGTGACGTTCTTGCGCAGCTCGTCGTCCTGCGCACGCAGCGTCCTCATCAGCTCGTAGATGCCATTCTCCTCCACCAGCGCCAGCTTGTTCTCGGCATTGTCATAGATGAGGTTGCGCATGGCGCCGGTGGCATGGCGCTGCAGCTCCTGGTTGGGGTGGTTGAAAAGCTTCACCAGCTTGGGCACGGCTTGGAGGCTGCGAGCCTGGAAGAGAGACAGGGCGGCGGGTGAGTGGTGGTGGGGCCTGTAGGCCCAGGAGTCTGTCCTGGCCTCCACTGGGCGGGGAAGGAGCAGGGCCCCTGTGGAAGTGTCACGGCCTGGCTAGGAGCTGCCGCTGCAGAGTGCTGGGGCTGTATCCCTGCCCTCAGCATGTTCTGTCAGCACCTGAGTCGACAGCCGGGGCTGAGAGGCTGGGGCGGCCCTTTCCCAGCATGCCTTTGGCGTCTGCCCCCATGCACCCATCCTCGCCTTGCCCCTCACCTGCTTCTTGGCGTCGCTGTCGCTGTAGCACCTGTGCTGGATGTAGGCGGCTCCCAGCACCTGCAGGTTGGGGTCACTGGCCATCAGGTACTTCACTGCTGACGGCAGGTCAATGTCGTCAAACCTGCAAACCAAGGGAGGGTCAGGAGTGGCCACCACGCCCCCTCAGGGCTCCCTCCTGCCCACCTCACAGCAGGGCTCCACCACGTCCTGCATGCTTTGCCGAGGCGCCCACCAATTCGACCCATGTCACTCCTTCACCAGGCCCAGGACACGGGGTCGCCCACCTCTGGTCAAAGATGACTGGCCAGGGCAGGGCTTTTTCAGATCCCACCATGCTGCTCCTAACTCAGCCTGTAGGGGTCACTCCTGAGCAACATGAGCTACCCCTCCCACGCCCAGAGCCAAGTGGGTCCCGACTGTAGAACTGCCATCCGGAGCAATGCTAGCCCAGGAAGCAACAGGGCCCAGGGCAGTCCTTTGCAACAGCATCAGTACTGCTGGGCCACTTCGCTGCTGCTCCAGCTCCCCTCTGCTTTGCCACCGCACGCTATGGATGATCTGGTGAGCTGCAGAATTTACCAGTCGTACGGGGCCGCATCAGGCAACAGGTCGAGCCCTTAGACGGAGGGATGGTCGTGCCCCAGACCATCCACAATGCCGGAGACTATGGAAATGCACCAGGGAGGCAGACCCGGGAACCAACAGAAGGGAGGCTACGCCAGGCCCAGAAGCCCAGTTCCCCTGGTCCGTCTCAGGAAACTCGGCACGTTCCTTGATCCTTGTCCAGGTTGGCTGGGAGCTTCACAGGCCACCCCTGCCCCCGAGTTACCCCCTGCACACTCACCCGCCGGAGTAGGAGAGCTGGGTCGTCAGCGTGTTGTGTCCGTTGTACATGTCGATGGCGCGCAGGTCCTGCAGGTGGTGGTTGGACTCAGCCAGGCTACGCACAGAGGGGGCCCGGGCGCTGCGCTCAATCATGCCCGCGTAGGAGCTCCCCACGCCCGGCTGGGAGGCCGGGAGGCTGCTGAAGGAGCCAGTGCTCAGGCGGGAGCGGTTGTTGCTCTGGAAGCGCTGAAGCGTGCGCATGGCGGGCGCACGGATGGTCCGGTTCTGAGGCACCTCCACGCTGTCCATCCAGTCGCCTGGCCCCTTCATCCCAGTGTTGGAGCCAGCACTCATCTGCCTCTCGAAGGTGTAGGCTCTGGTGAAGTTGCCATTGTTTCTGCGTCTATAGAGGGCATCCGGGCTCAGCTGCTCCGAGATCATGCTGTAGCGGTCATCCATGCCTGCAGGGCTGCCCAGCCCATCTGCCAGGCGCAGCGACCGCAATGACATGGTGTCGAAGTTCGGCCGGGCTTGGTAGTTCCGCTCGTGGAAGGAATTGGGCCGCGCGGAGGTGCTGGCGGCCTGCGAGAGAGTGTAGCTCATACCGTAGGCTGGGCCCTGGGGCACGCCCCCGTTGCTGATGGTAGCCATCCTCTTGTGAGGTGTGAGGTCCACAGCTGACCGGGAGGACCAGCCAATGGACTTGGTGGTGCTGTACTCATTCTTGGCTGGTGGCTGGTATAGCTGGGGGAGACGGGGAGAAACGGGTCAGCAATGTCTCATTTCAATAGGAAACACACAGCATGTCTTGCTAACTTCTGGCTCAACAAAGTGAGCCTGGGATCTGAGAATCAGGCTGGGGTCTTTTCCTCTCACCCTTCAACACCAAGAGGAGAAATTCTGCAGGCTCAGTTCCACCCTCAGTAATGCCTGTACAGCCTCCACGACGGCCACTGAAAGCTCACAAGGTTGCAGATATCTGACGCTCTCGGCTGGAGATAGTGGGTTGGACAGGTGTACTGGGAGTCACCACTGGGCCTGCAGACCTGTTAGCACTGGAGGGGACGAGTGAAAGGGAACCAACCTGGTGTGACTCTCAGATCCCAGCTGAGTTTGTTGGTTTTGAAAACACCATTTGACGGGGAGGCCTTGAGAGACCAAGGGAGAAACCCTGGCCCTAGCGAATGGAAGTTTTGCCATTGACTTTGGTGGAGCCAGGATTTCACCCACTAACCAAGGTGGCACGTTTGACCATGCTGCAGCACAGAGCTGGGCTCTGAGGCCTGCAGAGCTCTCTGACTGCCAAGTGGTCTTACTGCCCCATGGGAGGTTTGTCCACCACTAGAGAACCTCGCTCCCCTCCCTCCTCCCTGACTGGCGCCTGGGGGAAATGAGCCCCCCACTACCATTATCAGGACCAAGAGCTTCCCCACACCTGGCTTGGAACCCAGCCATCCACTGCCAGTGACTAGGCTTCCTAAGGGCTACAGGAAGAGAGGCAACTAGCGGGTGGCCTGATCTCGCGTGCCGATGGCTGGGTTCCAGATGTAATAGTGATGGGAGCCATATAACGACACATCAGCCAAACCGACCTGTCTAGCCACACACTGCAGGTGAGCTGGTACTTACAGTGCCCTTGGGGTCTAAACCATTGGTCTGGGATCTGGAGCTGAAGGACTTCTGCAGGGTGTTGCTGTACTGGCCCTGGGAGGAGCTGCCACCTGCAGGACACACAGACAGACAGACAGCGTTCAGCAAAGCTAGAAATGAGCTGTGTGCGTTCAAAGCACAGCACTAGAGGAATCGGGACTGGGACAGCCCTGGGCGGGGGCGTCAAGAGGAGATCCTACACCTGGATCTGAATACCCAATGCTCTGATGGGGGGGATGTTGTAATCTGGATTTGGTGACTGTCTGCAATTGGCTGAACCGCACCCCTGGAGCCAAACACCCACACACTGTTGTGGAGCCTGGCTTTGGCTCAGGAGCTTTGGAATGCTGCAGCCGGCTGGGACCCATCCCTGCTTGGTAGCCACAGGGAGCTTCCCACGTCATGGGGTGGGGCGCTATAGGGTGTATGAGGTGTACGTAAAATACCCGCCAGGGTCCCATCTCTGTGCCGAGGGCTCAGCGTGGGCTGCCTCTAGTGCCCGGTGAATGAATGGCCTGTGTTAGTGGAGGGAAAGGTGGGAGCCGGTCATCTGCTGCACTTAAACCTCCCAAGCACGGGTTCGACACAGCTGCAGCACCGAGCCCCTCACGGCACACGGCCAGCCCAGGAAAGCCCAGGAGCTCACCCAGGAGCCGCACGGGGATGTGGCTGAGTGAACGAGGGATGCCCTGCAAGTGACAGTAGATTAGCTGCCTGTGGGAGAATTCTCTGTCGTGACCCACAGCAACTTCTTCTAGGCCAGCCCTGGGCTCCCCCAGCCCCCACCCAGCTCAGTCCTGCTCTGTAGCACCCCCGATAGTCCAGTCCTGGGTCCCACCCAGCTCTGCCCATGCACCCCTGTCCTGAGCTTCAGCCCCCCTTGTACCCCAGCCTTTGGACCCACCCAGCTTTGATAATGCTCCCCAGTCTCGACCTGCACTCCTCTGCTTTTCCAGCCTTGGCCCCATGCAGCTGTGCCAACACACCCCATCCTGACCTACAGTCCCCCGCTAGTCCAGCCCTGGCCCCACACATCTCTGCCAACACACCCCAGTCCTGACCCACAGCCCCCCCCACCCCCCCGCTATCCCAGTCCTAGACCTGCACACAGTTCTGCCAACACACCCCAGTCCTGACCTACAGTCCCCCCACCCCCCGCTATCCCAGTCCTCGACCTGCACACGGTTCTGCCAACACACCCCAGTCCTGACCTACAGCCCCCCCCAGCCCCCCGCTATCCCAGTCCTTGACCTGCACACGGTTCTGCCAACACACCCCAGTCCTGACCTACAGTCCCCCCCGCTATCCCAGTCCTCGACCTGCACACGGTTCTGGCAACACACTCCAGTCCTGACCTACAGCCCCCCCCCCCCCCCCACTATCCCAGTCCTCGACCTGCACACGGTTCTGCCAACACACCCCAGTCCTGACCTACAGTCCCCCCCGCTATCCCAGTCCTTGACCTGCACACGGTTCTGCCAACACACCCCAGTCCTGACCTACAGTCCCCCCCACCCCCCCGCTATCCCAGTCCTCGACCTGCACACGGTTCTGGCAACACACCCCAGTCCTGACCTACAGTCCCCCCCCACTATCCCAGTCCTCGACCTGCACACAGTTCTGCCAACACACCCCAGTCCTGACCTACAGCCCCCCCCCCCCCCGCTATCCCAGTCCTCGACCTGCACACAGTTCTGGCAACACACCCCAGTCCTGACCTACAGTCCCCCCACCCCCCCGCTATCCCAGTCCTCGACCTGCACACGGTTCTGCCAACACACCCCAGTCCTGACCTACAGTCCCCCCCGCTATCCCAGTCCTGACCTACAGTCCCCCCACCCCCCTGCTATCCCAGTCCTCGACCTGCACACGGTTCTGCCAACACACCCCAGTCCTGACCTACAGTCCCCCCCCGCTATCCCAGTCCTGACCTACAGTCCCCCCACCCCCCCGCTATCCCAGTCCTCGACCTGCACACGGTTCTGGCAACACACCCCAGTCCTGACCTACAGTCCCCCCACCCCCCCGCTATCCCAGTCCTCGACCTGCACACGGTTCTGCCAACACACCCCAGTCCTGACCTACAGTCCCCCCCCCCCCGCTATCCCAGTCCTCGACCTCACCGTCTCCCCCCCCAGTCCTGACCCCCCCCCCCATCCCAGTCCTGACCTACAGTCCCCCCACCCCCCCGCTATCCCAGTCCTCGACCTGCACACGGTTCTGCCAACACACCCCAGTCCTGACCTACAGTCCCCCCACCCCCCCGCTATCCCAGTCCTCGACCTGCACACGGTTCTGGGAGTGCATCCGGATCTTGCCCCGTTCTGCTCCCACCTCTTCCAAACCCAGGCTCTCTAGAGCAGAGAGGTGGCAGTGCTGAGTTCCAGGCTGTCTTTGTGATGCAGACTGATCTCTGCTGGGCCCAGGATACTGCTGCCGAATGCTCTCACCTGTGACTCCAGGTCGGGGGGGATTGGGGGGGGCTGGAGTTTCGCAAGGGGCACAGTTTGTTAATCTAAAAATGGCCCTTTTTTCTCTGTACATCCATGGTGTTTGTGAAAAATTTCACTAGCCCTTTATCGCATTTTACACCCGATATTCTTATTGGAAATGTTGCTGACCATTTTCATTTCTCAGTTTCTATATTTGAAAATGAATTTAAAAAAAAAATTGGAAAGAATTTTTCAAAAGAAAAACCCTGTCATGTGCCTAAACCGCCCCCTCCCCATTCATTGTTTAACCAGCTCTTCTTTTAACCATGGCGAACAAAACGCTAAAAGAATACAAGAGAAACAACGAACGTAGCTGGGAAACGGTCGCTCACATTCCCCAAAACATTGTGAGAACCAAAACTTTTGGAACGACTGAAAAACTGGGGCCGGGGGGGGCGGGGGGAATGGTGGGTTTTGGTTTCTTGTTTTTTCTAGTTTCCAGCCAGGTCCCAAGCTGGGGTAGGTCAAGGTAGCCCCACTGGGGTCAATGGTGCCAGACCAATGTCCACCCTGGAGGAGCTGTGGTTGGCTGGCTCCATTGAGGTCAGTGGGACTTTCCAGCTGAGGGACTCTGGCCTAGACTGTGCAGGGAGGGAAAGGCTCGCCAAGTGAGCCTTGTGTCATAAATAGAAAGGGAAGGGCAAACCATTTTAAAATCCCTCCTGGCCAGAGGAAAAAGCCTTTCACCTTTAAAGGGTTAAGAAGCTAAGACAACCTCGCTGGCACCTGACCAAAATGACCAGTGAGGAGACAAGATTCTTTCAAAAGCTGGGAGGAGGGAGAAAAACAAAGGGTCTGTGTCTGTCTGTGTGATGCTTTTGCCGGGGGAAGAACAGGAATGGAGTCTTAGAACTTAGTAAGTAATCTAGCTAGGTATGTGTTACATTATGATTTCTTTAAATGGCTGAGAAAATAGCTGTGCTGAATAGAATGAATATTCCTGTCTGTGTGTCTTTTTTGTAACTTAAGGTTTTGCCTAGAGGGATTCTCTATGTTTTGAATCTAATTACCCTGTAAGGTATTCACCATCCTGATTTTACAAAGGTGATTCTTTTTTACTTCTACTAAAAGTCTTCTTGTTAGGAAGCTGAATGCTTTTTCATTGTTCTAAGATCCAAGGGTTTGGGTCTGTGGTCACCTATGCAAATTGGAGAGGATTTTTACCAAACCTTCCCCAGGAAGTGGGGTGCAAGGGTTGGGAGGATTTTGGGGGGAACGACATGTCCAAACTATGTTTTTTCAGGAACCCAGATAAAGTTTGGTGGTGGCAGTGGAAGTCCAGGGGCAAAAGGGTAAAATAGTTTGTACCTTGGGGAAGTTTTAACCTAAGCAGGTAAAAGTAAGTTTAGGAGGTTTTCATGCAGGTCCCCACATCTGTACCCTAGAGTTCAGAGTGGGGAAGGAACCTTGACACCTTGTTTATGCTGAACAGCTTACCGGGAAACCAAACACTCCCCTTCCCATCTGGTCTCCCCACCTCCTTTCCCAGCCACACTTGCTCTTGTTAAGACCGAGCCCATTTAGAAGCGGCCTTAGGTTGAAAGGGTCTTTAGAAGGCAACCGCTGGCATGAGTCCTGGAGATCTGAAGGGAGGAGTCCGGTGGGTGAGTGGAGAGCAGTGCGGCGGAGAGGCTGGTGAGCGATTAGTTCGCCATGGAAGACCTGCGCTGAGACCCAGCTGGGTTCAGCTGGCTTCAGTTTGACGCATGGCCAATATTTGTCCCTGTTACAAAATCAACAGCAGAGATAAGAGCAGCTGGGGGTGTCTGTAGCATCTAAGCTGCCATTTAAAGGTAACTGAAGGCGGCAGTTTCTCTTCTCCCTGATGCCACAGGAGATCTCCCTGGTTTGCTCTGGGGTCAGTGCGGGGAGAACCAGGCCCTCGCACAATTCTAGCCCTGGTGGTTGCCAAGAAAGCCTTCCCAGTTTAGCCAACGCTGGGTTAGCTCAGGCTGATGCCGCAGGTGGGGGGAGCCTCGCTCTCGCTACCAGGAGGCTTGAGCTGAGGAAGCGAGATGTGGGATTTGTGGAGACCCCAAAAGGAGGACATTTAAGAGTGACCTGCAAGGAAAGAGCACCTGCGTCTGTGCTGTGTGTCCCTCTCTGAGGGATAAAGGCCTGACAGGATCTTTTCTTAACTGATACTTTTCCTCCTTTTAAAAAAACAAAACAAAACCATGTGAAATATTCGGAATGTCAAGTGTGGTCGTCCCAGTTTGAACGGAGGGCATGGCGGGGGTCTCGGAGATGTGCCGTGGGCACTCTCCCAGACCATCTCTGAAGAGTCAGCCTAAACAAAGAGCTCTGTGTGGCTTGAAAGCTGGTCTCTCTCACCAACTGTGGTTGGTCCAATCAAAGATATCACCTCCCCCACCTTGTCTCGCTCATATCCTGGGCCCCACACGGCTACAACTGCACTGCCTAAGGAAAGCCAGCTCTCCAAACACCGAACAGCCAGAGCTCCATCAGCTTTCCTTTCTGATGTCATCACCCACTAGCTCGCCAGCGGGCCAGAAAGTTGTCCAGGGTGGCCAAGAGCTGAATTTCTGCATGCTTAGCATCTTTCAAAATGCGGCCAC